ATCTTTGCTGTGTTGGTGATTTCTTGTCCAACCATTCAATATTTCCCTCCCAACAATAATTTGTTTTTAACGTAAAATTTTTGTAACAACTTGGAACAAAACAGCAATATTGAAAGCACTCCAAATTCATGAAAAATTGAAACCAGGAGAAAATTGAAAAATAAAAGGACAACTGACACCAAAGGCGACACTTTTTGTTTGCAACAAGGAACCTGGTTTCCACTTTTCAACAATAATTAAAATAAGATATTAAAAACTGATTAATTAAATAATGTTAAATAATTTTTTGGGGATATTCACATGCTAAATACGTAAGAGCAATTCCCATATAAAATAACTAAGCATTTTGAATATCCCCATTAATCTTCAAATATCATAATATTTTGTTACATTTCCAATATTATTTTATATTTCCATATTAATCCCTAACATTATCAAATAAAAAAAAAATTAAATTACCTTCTTTGTTGCTTTTTTATGAAAAGCTGATAAATTAATTTCCATATTTTTAAAATTTAAAATAAGACCACATTAATAATCATTTTAATGCGCAAAGCATGGTCTTATCTAAAATCTCATCAACCGTGCGCTCATATATGAAAAGTAATCGGGGCAGGATTATTATTCAGCGCCGGATATTTGTTCTAATTAAAATTAGGCCTTTACAAACGGAAGCAGCTATAGTGGAGATAGAAATTTTACTCGTGTACAAGCGTGCAATTTATGCACGATTAATTCTGTGCTTTTTGCCTGGGGGTATGTCTATGCTTGAGAGCAAAATTTGGATTAATTTGTGCGCTGCGATCTTGCAAATCCATTTGCATATTATCGCGCAAGGGAAATCTTCTGCATGACGCGGGCAGAGAGCAAGCCAAGAGGAAGTAAAAGATGATGCTAAAATTCCTCTGCAGAAGAGTACTAAGTAGGGAACATTGCCAATCTTTAGTAACTGGTCTGTTTAATAAATTGGCTGAGGAAACGCAATGAAATAATGTTAATTTTTTTTTAAAATTCTCATCTCTCTATTTAATTTTTTAAATAACACTTTTTTAGTTATTGGGTACGCTATAATATTCATATTCTTGAAAAATGCACAAGCATTTTATTTTTTGTATCTTAATTTTAATTGGAGTGAAATGTTATGCCTCTAAAAAACTTTGGTTGTTGAAATCTATAAAAAAATAAGTTTTAAAATTTAATGGGATATAATATGTATTCACATGCTAAGTAAGCACTAGCAAATCCCATAATCTAAAATTTGTAAAGCTCTCTCAAAAAATTCGGTCGGGTAAATTCAAATCGAGTAAAAATTTGACGTTTAAAAGTTGCCAATTGGCCTTATATTTGCACTTAAAAAAGTACCTCATTTAAATTTTATACATTTATTTTATTTTATCTTTCTATTATCTTTTTTTGTCATTTCCATTCAATATTGTAGTGTCTTGAGTTGCATTATTATATTTTACCTTTGTTGAGCTATAAATTAACTGGGTTTAGAAAAATCAACGTTTGCAATTTTTTTTGTCACGTACTTTTCCACATTAGTTAAAAATTGACAACTGAAAATTGGCGGCGTTCCCTATTGACAGAATAATAATAGCTTGGAGGCAGGGAACGACAGAGGGAAAACTGTGCGTGTCTCGCGATCTCCAAATGAATTCGAGTCATCTCAAGACATTGGCTCTCCATCCCACAGGAAAACTTGTAATTCCACTGCAATGCACAAACGTCCTCTTGGCGCAAATCCAATATGTTCTCCCTTCGTTGCTGCGAAAATATATATTTCCACCTCACGGAAACAACTTTTATGACCTGCATTGAGGGCATCTGCTGTGCATAGGGCAATTTATCGCAGTAAAAATATCATAATAAGGAAAAGCTACACAGTAAATAAAAAAGAATCGCTATAGCACAGCATTGAAGTATTAATTTTCTTTTATATGTTTGGCAAAGTCAAAATTGTGGACTCTTATTACTCTCTATTGGGCCAGCTGGATTTTTGATTTTTTTTCTTTTAAAAAGGAGTAAATCACGGAGAATGAAAATCCAGAGACTCTTTTTTAATTTGGACAGATTTTGGTGAATTTATTTCCAAATTTACTCTACTTTTTTTTCAAATTTAATTTAATTATTCTTTTTAAATACTTCATTTAGACTTTTTTAATCAATTTGTTTTTCGTTGATGATTTATCATTTGACAAATTGAATAAGTGCGGAAAGTTCTGTGTTTGTGTTTACGTCGCCGATTGAGAAAGAAACTGCTTACTGGGCAGCAAAAAATAACAGTTTTTCTCAGCGATTCCTTTTGTCAAATAATCTCGCGGCGAAGCTATGCGAAAGAAAAAGTCTCTCTGGCCATGAGGTTTAGTTCCACTCCTTCAGCCTGTCTGCAATATATCACCAAAGTCGAGAGACAGCTTTTATATTATTTGGTCTCCGCGGACCGTCTTTCCTTCCGGCGGCTTATTATTTTGCCTGAATTCCATGCGTGTGGAAAACCAAGCTTGACGCAACACTTAATGCGGAATGAGAGAGAGAAAGTGAACTGGACGCACAAGTTCTACATTGTTTTAGCATCCTTGCAATATACTATAATGTTGTACTGCTGGCAAACTGAGAATAAAATTTCATGGCTGGTTTTAAGATAAAAAAAGGAGTAATATGCAGGGAATTTTAAAGTTTTTAGAGAAAAAAAAAACAGCTTTTGCCTTTTGCCTCCAAGCAAGACGTAATTATTGGTGACAATTTCAAACAACTCTCTGCAACAATGAGGGAAAAGCAAACTTTGAATCTCTTTCTAAAGAATTTAAATATGTTGAAAATTTTAATAAAAACAAAAGATCCAAAAGATGCCGATTATTCTGGATTCTCATCCGCGATTTTTATATAAAATCACCAAAATTTTAGAACTGAATATTTCATTACAATTCGGTTACAAACACAGAAGTTTTAAAAAACAATATTGGATTTTCAATTCTTATGAATGTTACATATTCTTGGAAATTTTATGAATTTTTAAAATTTTTTCCTTCTGAATTTTATGTTGTCAATCTCTCCAGAATCTCTCCAAATTATCTAGGTGATACATTTTGGTGCATGCCAGAATCCTATCTCTCTGATGTAATTTCCCTGTCAGAAATTAAATTTGAAACACAATAGGGCATTGGAATATTTTCCTGGATCTTTCCTGATGTCCCACAATTCGCTCCCCTGTTTCAAAATTAAACCGGTCGCCCTGGTTGTGGTAGATAAGAATTTAGCACTGGCCGCGTTTGCAGTGAGATGCAAAACCGTGTAATATTCGAATCTCCAACCACATGCGAGGCGAGCGTGTGTGTGCAAGCTTTGGTGCCTTGCGTTGCTCTTTGCCAGAAGAGCGAAATTATCAAATGATAAGGATGATAGGCTTGGAGCGAAACTCGACTGCCAGTGACACACTCTGCGCTGCGACAGGAAATGCTCTCTTCCTTTTTACTCCTCTTTGATGTCGCGACAAAAGTTTGCGCTGAAAAGTTGCAAAAGCTGCTCACCTTGCCTCGAGTGTTACTTTCGAAAATTGCTTTTTTTTAAATGAAACGTGCAGTATCTCCCAAATAATTTTAAATTGTTTTCAAACTTTTACTGCATTCAATACGTACCTAGATAATTCGTTAAAATTAAACTTCAATACTTTTTTTCCATTTAATAAAATAGATCCATGACTTTGATGTACTTTGAATTATTTTTAATTTTTTTAATCCGTTTGGTAATCAAACGTTGAACCCATTATTGTCAGATTTGGTACTTAAAATATTAAATTGAACGTAGTTCCATCAAAATTGTTGATATTTTGGAGTTTTTTCAGTTTTTTTATGTCTTAATTGTGAAAGCTGCTGATGCAAATCTCTGTTGTGAATGGAGTTAAAATTAATTAAAATAGACTTACAAAATATTTAATGGAGTTTCTGTTTAAAAACAAAATTCTATCAAGAGCCTTTATTTATTATTTATTGAATTTTTGTATTTACTTGACATAACTTAATTTTTTACGTTTTGAACCTTGATCTTAAAGAATACAATAAGCGATAAGTCTTTTAATGAAATATATAGCATTTCATATCTCTTATTATGATTTTATTCTTGTTACAACTTCACAGTGAAGCCTTCACTTAAAAAACAAACGACTATACCAGTCTTATTTTATAACTTTCTTGTCACACAAAAAAGGGCTGCAGAGATTTGCTGAAGCTGATTATGAGAGACATGTTTGTTTTTTTAAGGAAGATAAGCCCGTTTTTTGCAGTCCGCTTGTTGATTTTGTAAAATCCCATTTTTTTTCCATGAGCAAATTTAAATGGAAAATGCCATAAAAGGGGCAGTAAAATCACAACGAATCTAAATTTCATTATTGAGATCCTAACAGATAATGACTTTAATTAATTTAAAAATTTCTGCAAATTGAAAATAAAACAGATGAAACAGTAAGAAAAAAATAGAATTATTTTAAATCAATTTAACAAATTAAAAACTTTAAACCTCCGATGTATTTTAACCATTGCCACAAATAATTAAATTTCTTTATTGAATCTCATTTTTATAATCCACTTTTAAAACATTTTACTCTCTATGTGGAAAGAAATGAAAAGATCTTGCGCGTGTATAGGCTGTCGGCTGTCCTTTCATTAACCTTAGGTGTGTGTCGCCGTCAGCAAATTCCACGGTAGAACGGCAGCGAAACTCATTTCGCAATTCCTGTGAGAGGAGTCCAGCATCCAGCGCAATAGATTAGCACAACTTCACGTGTGTGGTGTAGAAAATAAGATAAAAAAGTGACGCGCGCTGTTTTATTGCAGAGGAGATCTAAAAACAAATGAATTTATGGCGGACGTTAAATATCCTCCCTCTTTTTAATTGCCGAATGAAATTGGCTTTTACTGCCCCAAGTTGGATAATTCCTCCGGCTTAATTGTTTCCTACATCTAGAGTTTTTTTTCTGACTTTTTCGTTCTGCTCTGTTCCAGATACACAAACACCACAACTGCCGCACCGCACGTGGACGACGACGACTCCCTGAGGTGAAAAAATAATGAGTGGGTCATTGCACAACCAGGCCGAATGCGATTTAATTAAAAGGCCAAACTTTTAACTATTCCGGCTGCACATATGTTGGCGCCCATTAATTAATTTTCGCTCCAACCACCGCATTCTCCAGTGGAAATATAAGGCTTGTTGTGAAAATATGTCTCAGTGCATGCATTTTTGTAAATTACAGAGCTGCGGGGTTTAACCACGCGAGTAATATGTCGTAAATTTTACACTGGTTACTTAGCCAAGTGTTGGAAACACTTGATTCCAAATTTAATTTTTACTTATCCAAAATTAACGAATTTTGGTAAAATCTAGAAACCATAAACTATTTACAATAAAAATTTTATCAAGCTCTAAATGGAGAACAAATAATTAGACGATTCCACACATTCACATAGAAACATAGCTTGTTCTTCTATATTATAAAGTAAATGATACAATGTTTCATGAACAAACAAGGGCACAATATCAGTTAATTAAAGACTGTAGCGTAGGACATATTATTATGGTTTTGAAGTGTGAAGTAAGTGAAGTTGCCTGGTGGCTGTTGTACCTTAACCTTTGGGCACGGCTTTCCTTCAGCCTTTGTAATCGAGAGCCGCTTGCTTGCTTGTCATTTCCAGATGGCAAAACTTGAGCAATCTGCAAATATTAGACGCACTTCTGAAGAAATATGACAGACGGGCGACGCCAACCAACAACCTCGGTGAGCCAAATTGCTTTCGTTTAATTGCGCGCTCTCGCTCCTCGCCAACATAGTTAAATGGCTGGAGACATTTTCCACCAACCCCTAACAAGTGCAAGAGGAGTATAAATTTATGGGAGCTCACGGATTCGGAATGTCACAAGGGGGATAGGGTTTATTTATCGCACCTTCCCAAAATCGGCAAACCATGTTAGCAAATTGCAAATGAGTTGGCTCTAGTGAGAAATTCATTTGCATAATTCTTATTTGTTTAAACTTTGTCTATACTTTAAAAAAAAAGGTTTTAATTTTTGTCCAACCTTTGTTTGATTATTATCTTATATGCAATTTATTTACCAATTTATGTTATTTAATATCAAACTTACAAAAATTTTTAATTAATACTGATATTCATAAAGAATGTAACAAAACTAACTATACCAGTGTAAAAAAAATTTAGTCAGGAAATGAAAATATGTTGCAGTGGGTACTGGTACGAACGTTGATATTTATTTATCAGTGTTGTTAGACAATCAGAGATGGTACCAGTTTGGTGGAACCATATTTGATTAGTCCACAAACAATGAAAACCCAAATTCCATTGATGTATGAGCTCCCATTGATCTAGTGTTTTTTATTAATTCAAGTAAGTAATAAATCAGAAATTATGATCGATAAGTAATATAAGTAATAGTGTTATGTTCATCGAATGCACTTACAAATCAGGCGGTCAACAATATTTTGGAAAATTCACTTTTTAATAATTTATGATGTAATGAGGAATAAAGAAAACTCATCAATCTTTTATATTTCTTCTAAAACGGCATCAATTTGTGTCTTCAATAAAAAAATTTAATATTTTCACACTCCTTTAGATATTTTTGATACTTAAAAAAAATCACGAATTTTCTAGTAAAACAAGAATCTCCTTTCCTGGTCTTTTATTAATAGATCCATTAATTTTCTGCAGGCATCCCCACGGAAGTTCAGTGCGACATTTACATCCGCAGCTTTGGCTCCATCAACCCCTCGACCATGGTAACTCCTGGTCCCTCTTGATATATCTTTCTTCTTCCGTGATAAAATATTTTATCGATTCGCTTTTAAACCGTGGCATCTTGCCCGGCTGTAAAATCTGTTGTTAAAAAAGAGACCCTTTTATTTTTGTCCGCATAAATATAAAAAACGTCAATTTTTTGCTTACCTGGACCCTTTCTTGTAAACCGGAAAAATGAAATGAAAGGCGAAATTTGAATTTTCTACCACCAAATCCCTACCTCTCGTGTTTTCTTATTATGTTGCGTTGCCACAAGAGAGTCGAGTTACAATTTTCGCCCGCAGGATTACCAGGTCGATCTGTACCTGCAACAGACTTGGGTCGACTCGCGCCTCAAAAATAAGCATCTGACAAGAGCCATGGACTTGAATGATCCCAACCTTGTGCAGCGGATTTGGAAGCCTGAGGTGAAATACATTGTTTACCCAATTTCAAATGAAAACATGCCAAGCTTGTCCTTGTCAGTTACTATGAAAACATAGAATAGGAGTTGAAATACTTTTCTGATTTGGCAAGCTTTAAAAAATGAGTTTTCTTCTCACTTTTTATTAATGTTCTAGTTGATTAAAATTTTTTTATTGAAACGATTGATTAATTTGATATTACTAAAAAATATGTTGACATATTTTTAAAATTAAATAAGATGATATCTTAATTTTTATTCTCAAAATAGATTTGAGGAGATTTTCGGAAGCAAAATGTTGGGTAAAACTTTATTTTAGAAATTGTTGTTAAATGCACAAATGCCATTCATTTTAAAGTAATTATTGTGTGCTAATGGACAAAAAATTACAAAATTAATAAGAAATGGAAAAGGGAAAGGAGATGAAACAGGAGCAAATATACAGAAACTCCAAATTGATATAAAATATTTATGGAGCTTTGCTAAACTTTGAAATTACAATAACAGAAATAAATATTAAAAAAAAACTCGAGTTACTCAAGGAAAAATCCTCCTTGTTTTGTTTCACATTCGCACATTTTAATCAGGATAACATTGTCTCATACAAAGGTTTTCTTCGCTAATGCCAAGCACGCCGAGTTCCAGTATGTGACTGTTCCTAACGTCCTTATCAGAGTCGCGCCAGATGGGAAAATCCTCTACATGTTAAGGTAATAATAATACAGTCGCTGCTCTCTATGGGGCACTACTACAAACTGTTGGGTCTCGACAATGAGCATCCAGTTAAAATTAGACTGCTGGCTGGATTTTGCTTCCTTCTGCAACCTCTCTCTCTCTTGTGTGTCATTTCTCTCGATTGTAGTCCACCCCGTTGGAATTTGGAATTTAACAACAGTTGATATTTACCTGGCCCGCACTTCCATTTCACAAAAGGGTGCTACAGACAGTGCGACTGAATTTGGAAGGATTAGAATTTTCGCTTTTATGTTTTCATTCTGTCGCTCGCTTTTGTATGTAAACGTAAACCACAATTCGGTGGTGCGCAACCCGCTGGACAGGTGTGTCGGGCAGGATGCTTTTTAACAAGCATCGGCTGCACGTCGTTTTCAATTTGCCGGCACATGCAAAAAACAGAAAGTAAATTGAAATGTTTGTTGATTTTGCCAATAGTTTTGTGATTGAAAGTTGATTAAAACTTATTGATCGATTGCAAGCTGGAAAATTCTCATAGCTGACCACTAATTACAACTACATTCATCGAGTAAAAACCTTTCCAACGCTCTGGAAAAATGAGTTTTCTTTTGTGCTGAAATAAATTGAGTCGATTGAATTCATGTTGATTTTTTAGACTTGAAAGGGCGAAAATCATTTACATTAATTAAATAAAAATATAAATAGCAAACGTCAGGAGGATAAAATGAAATAACAGAAGAAAAAATATAACTTTTAACTTTTAATTTAGCAGCCATACAGAGTCAAAGTTTGTTGAATTGGTTAAAAATCGTTTTTACATTAATAAAATTACATTTATGAATTTTTAAATTTATCTCTACAAAAGTTTGAGAGTCACAACTTCAGAGCTACTGTCACGCTAATTGGATCTTCGAAAGAAATATCAAAAGTGCCTTCCTCCTTTTCTTTGCTCGCTCAGATATGCAAGAACCTATTTTTCAGATTAATCTGTGACGAAAATGTGTTTGCAGGCTGAAACTGACATTCTCCTGCATGATGGATCTCTACAAGTTCCCTCTGGACGATCAAATTTGCTCAATGGAGATCGCTTCCTTTTCGAAAACAACCTCGGAATTGGTTCTCAAGTGGGACGAGACTTCACCAGTTCGCATGTACCAGGGCCTGAAGCTGCCGCAATTCAGAATCAGAAGCGTTAAAGCGTCGCACTGCAAAGAGGAGTTTCACATCGGTTCGTATAATTCTTTTCTTTACAAAATTAAGTTTTTTTCATTTCTCTTTGCATGGAGATAAAAATTTGATTGATTTGCAACAAATTCCAAACTAACCACATTGTAGACTTTTCAATATTTTCATCATTAATCATTTCCTAATCTCCATTCTTTCACTTCTGTCAAAGTGACACAGACAAATAGCTTAAGAGTTGGAAGAATATGTTTTTGTGGTTTTTAACTTATTGCAAAAGCATTGAAAATGCCAAAAGAAATTCAATTTTTCTTAAAATTTCTATAAAAAATCATGTTTGCAAACTTATTTGTTAAAATATATCTAAATGTTTTTAAATCATTGGTATATTTAAAATAAAAACAGTTTTGCCACTTCCATTTTATAAGTTGTTTTATAATCTATTTGCCATAGAATTCAAACTTAAATGTACCAAATATACTGTATTTTTAACTTTTAAAGTATATCGTCGGCTACGCGGCCAAATGGCCGATCTGGTAATTACCCCTGTGGGGAAAATGGCTAGTGGCCACTTTCCCCGTTGGGGAAAATGGCAGATGAGCCTTTTTTTAAATTTTACAGGAGAAGCAAAAAACTGATTATCTGCTCTAATTTTCTATGTTCAGATTTCAAAATTTGAACCAAAGTTCAGCATGTTATTGCAGATAATTTGGTAGACTTAATTTTCTTTTAAACCTTAATATACCACTGTTGTAAGAAATTTAAAGGGAATTAATTCCACACTGAAAGAGTAAAACGTACAATACAATCGAAATCAAACCACTTATGCAATTATTTCCTGCTTTTCTTTGTTCAATTTAACTTGATAATAATATTTTATTTTATATTAATTCATCGTATTTTACAATATTTTTATTATTTTATTTTATTTCAATTAATTTAAATTTTATTCTTTTATTTGAACAATAGTAAACAATTTTGGCATTAAAAGCATTTTTTTCTTATTTCACATGACCCGGCGTCACTTCTAATTATAATCTCATGAATAGTTTTACTAATACTTACTATAAATTGCAATAATTAGTAAAGTAAAATCTAGCTCGGATACAACATTAAGCTTCTGGTTGCATGTTAAATATTTTAATAATAAAATCTATATTTTACTATCTATTTGATTTTAAAATTATATCTATTTTAAAGAATTTTTTGCATTATCATGCAAAATGCATGAAAAAGCTGTCACTTTGGAATACAATATTGACGAAACTACAGCTTATTCTGATATTTTACTTCTTAATTTATGTTAGGTATTTTATTAAATTTATTAAAATTTTATTTTTATATTTTTTTTATTTTCGATATTTTCATTATTTTTAACATTTATTGCATTTAAAACAATTTTGGCATTATTCAGCAAGCGGGAATGCTGTGGATCTTGGTATAGGGGGCGTGGCACTGCCTTACTTTTGCTCCCCTAACTCGCGATAGTGAGACATCTACTGAGAAAGTTGATACTTTTATGGTTATTTCTGATGCAGATTTGTACACTGAATGCATTGGAACAATAAAAAAAATTTGTCCGGAAATGCTCATCTGCCATTTTCCCCAACGGGGAAAGTGGCCACTAGCCATTTTCCCCACAGGGGTATTTACCAGATCGGCCATTTGGCCGCGTAGCCGACGATATCAAATTTGCTTTTGATCTTCAAGTTATATCAATCATTCACAATAAAGCTCAAAATTTGAATTAATATTCATAGCTAGGGATTTAATTTTAACATGAGTAAAAAAACACCTCAAAAATCATCTATCTACGGTGGTTTTAAAGGATTTGAACTTTTTTTCTCTCGATTTAATTTAATTTAACTAAATTCTAAAAAATTATGAGCATTTTTCCCACCAGACTTTTACAATGTAGGTTTTTGGTTTGCCGGCGTTATAAAAAGGAACTGGCTGCCAAAACATTCCTTTTTCCACCGACAAAATTTCTTCTGCGGAACGGTTGAGATTTTAGAGAAATAACCCTCTGCGCCTCTCTTCTCTCCACTTTTTGTTTTCAACAAATATTTCATGCCTGCCCAACAAGAGCCATTTTCGTTTTTTGCCTCACTTTATTGCGGGCACTTTGCGAATTAGGCAGAACTAGAGAAAAAGCACGACGAAATGCAAACGTTGTCGCCTGCATGTTTTTGCTCCACCTGACTGCCGCGCGTTCTGTTGTATGTGCCACTGTTAATTAGTGTGCGCGTTTACTTCCTGCACCACGCGCAGTTTAATTTGGCCAAAACAACCACAAGACCCCAGCGTGTCATGAGCATGAAATTTATTATGCTCTATACTTCATATTTTGTGCTTACAGAGTTGTTTTTAAACATATTTTATAATTAATAATTTATGATACATTTTAAATATTTATTTATATTTTTCAAATATTTCATTGTATGCTTTAATTTTTTTTATTAATTTCTTTTTTATAAATAAAATTCCCAAGTTAAAAAATAAATTATGCCTCATCGATTTAATAGTAATTTTATTAATAAATAAATTATTTTACTGTCGTAGGCAGATCTTAAAGGCACGTCGCTCCTAAAGAAATCAATAAATTACCTGACTGCAATTCGTGAATTGTAAGAGTAAAAACAAAATTAACGTTGAATTTGTGTCACCATTTTTTATATGATTAATTTCTAGAAAAATCTATGTGTACGTTTAAATAAATTTTTTTAAATATTCAATTTTTCTTTGAATTCAAGATTAGGACAAATCAATGAGCAAAAAAGCAAAATAAATTTTTAATTTGCAAGTCTAGGTATTCATTCGAGATTTAATTTCCATTTTGGAGCAACACCCACAAAAGCGTCCATAAAATATTCAACAAGAATGCGGCTCAAAACAAGGCTGAGTAATTTACACAGTCCTACCTGCCAAGGATTTATCCCTGCACACATTCTCCCCAACCCCCTTTGCACCGCAGGCAATCAAATTATGCTGGCCAAGGCCCGGCTTTATTCAGTGCCTGGAGAGAAAAGACCCTAATATATCTGCGATCTGAGTGCCGCAAATTCAATTTTGACTGTTTGCACCTGCTTGTTATCCCTCGAGAAAGAGATAAAATGGAAAAATTGCTTATTTATATGCGTGCAGGCGAGTACAGCTGCCTTGTGGCCGAGTTCCACATGCAGAGGGCTATCGGCTACCACCTGGTCCAGAGCTACCTGCCCTCCATCCTGGTCGTGGTCATCTCGTGGGTTTCGTTTTGGCTCGACGTCGAGGCCATCCCAGCCCGGGTCACCCTCGGGGTCACCACGCTGCTCACCATTTCATCCAAGGCCAGCGGCATCCAGGCTGGCCTTCCACAGGTTGAAATTATTTTTTTTTTTTAGATAAAAAAGCTAAGTAAGTAGAAATTACTAAAAGGAATTCATATAGTTCTTAATAAAAAATTTATTGAATTACACTCACTTTTGACCTCCTAAATATATAAGAAAGGAATATCATACATTTTAATTCATATTATTGTTAATGTCGTTAATGTTTATCTTTCAAAATTAAAACTTAATTTGAATTAGATCAGACTCCACTATTTAAATAAAGCAGCTTATTTTTTTTATGATTATAACATTTTAAAAAGAAGAAGTTCGGAAATATGAATTTTTGTCTTTAAATTATTATTAAGTAAGATTTGGCGCTACATTTAATAATTAGAATATTATCAAAATGAAATCTCAATAATTGGATTACGTTGTTTTGGAAATTCAATAAAAAAATAAATAACAATTAGATTTAAATTAAATTTAAAGAAGCGTGATAATAATTTTGAATTTAATAAATTTTCTTATTATTTATTAGTATTTATCAATGATGATTTTTATTTAATTATTAATTAAAGTTTACAGTAGAAATTTCAGCGTTTTTTTTTTAGTGAATGTAAAACCAATAAGTATTTTTAACTAAAACAATCATTGTTAAAAGTAAATCAAAAACCTTGTCAAAAACTATTCCATGCAATTAATAATAATAATTAAAAGTAACAAAAAAAAATGTGAAAGAGATATATAATTAACTTATATGAGGCATGGGCCAACAAGACACTTGGCTTGGCCGAGCTCCAAAAACTAATAAAAAATAATAACCGGGGTGTTTGTGGAACAGGTGTCGTACGTGAAGGCGATGGACGTGTGGATGGGCATGTGCACCACATTCGTTTTCTCGGCCCTGCTGGAATTTACCCTGGTGAATTATTTATGGCGCAGGGGAGACAGTTCACCGCTTCTTAAGCAGGACTCGCCGCCATTAGGCACCAAAGTGGTCTACCAGCCGCAGAACGACTCGGCCAATGATAAGCACTCGGACAACGACGCTTGCTACAGTGTTACTGCAGCAGAGGTGAGATGCAAAATTATGACTTAATCCATTTCATTGATTATTTTATTAAAGTCAAGTTGATTTTCAGTTATTTGAAAATTTAAAGTGATTAAATATATTAATAGTTATCATACCAGTTGTGTTTTGGGAGGATTTTATTTTCGTTGTTTTATATCGTTTTATATATATTTTTTTTAAATAATATAGAACAAAAACTTATTTGCCAAACAATTTTGATTCATTTCTTTTCCATTTCACAATTGGAATCAAAGTAAGCCAATTTTCAACCAAGAATTTATTAAGAAGTGCAATGAAATGGAAACCGCTATTGACGAAGAGAACAATAAAAATTAAATTATGAATATAAAAGACCCAGTCAAGCTTAATTGACTTTTCCCGTCACAAAAGCACTGCATGATCATTTCAAGCGGAAGGCTTTTATTTGAAATAAACCTTTCAAATAAACAAGAGTCTCCTTCTAACTCATAATGAAGAATAAGGAGAAAATGATTATGTTGAACTGACAACGAAATTAATTTAAGAGGAGCTCTCTCCCGTTCAAAAGTTTCGCACTCGAGCCTCTCTTGTACATATGTACAAGAACACAAGCACTCCGCAAATTTTAGTGGAGCTTCGCCTTCATTGCTAGCTGTATTTTGCGCAAGTTTAGCTTGAGCGTAAATTGGTAACAAAGAGAAAGCACGACTGAAACGGAAAAAGCTCATTATGAGAGGATTTTATAAGGTGTTTCCTGCACCCAAGAAAACGCAGAGAACGTGGTGAAAATAACATTTTACTTCTACTTGCTTGCATTGAAATACACCATCAAGGGCGAAACTTCCTACTTATTTTCCATGCATTTTTTTCTATCAATTTTTTTGTAAAACCTGTGGCATTTTATGCAGAAATATAATCATTAATATATTAAATTTCCAGTGCTATTGCTTATATTTTTTCGACATTGTTGATTCAGGAAAGTCAGCAGAATTCGTGCGGCGAGGAGCGGCCGTTGCCGAAGAAAAGCGTCAAGGGCAAGGCGAGCAAGTACATGGCCAAGAAAATCGACCAAGTGTGCAGAGTCGGTTTTCCCTTCATGTTCTTGGTATTCAACATCTGCTACTGGCTTTACTACTTAGCCGTGTGTGATTAAACTGCAAATCGACGCCGTCAGAAAAGTACGCGACAAGGAGAATTAATTTTGCGCGAAGGCAGTAAAAAAATAGCTGAAACTTTTCAAAACGCAGGATCAGCTGTGCTGACCTGAAAATCTTAATGACACCTTTCTACACAGTAGATTTTAAACCTAAAACGTATAATCTCTCCGAAAACTGTTTGTGTACTTGTGTAGCGAGAAGAAAAAAAAATAATTGTTTCAAAAGGAGAAATTATTCAGAGAGAAAATACTCATGTGTAAACTCAATCAAAAGCAGTGAATTCTCCTTTTTGTTTGAATTTCATGTTAAGTAGAAATTAATGGACTTGCAAATTGTAATCGTTTTTTTTTTTCAATTAAATAATTAACTTTTTCAAGTATTTTATCCCATATTTTTAAAATTTGTTACTATTAAACTTGACACCTAATTTTATAATTGATTTGCCTTTAATAAAATATTATTCAGCAAATACAATGGATATTCAAAATCAGATTACTTGTTTAGCCGGCTTGAACCTGGCCATTATTTCAGTTGCAGATAATAACATAACTCCTATAATATATTGCTAAATTTTATCAAAAAATATTTATTGCAATTTCTTTCCTTTGAGATATAAAATTTTTGTTTTCAATTTCAGACTATTGTAAAAAATTAACCAAGCCGACAATGGATGCAATAATTTTCAATCAATCAAAATTTGCAAGTCTAAAGATGTATTAATTCTGACCATTTTATGTAATTTGAACAAAAATGTGGCAAAGCTTGAAGGAAGCTTAAAATTTTTTGAAATTTTAATGGCAACTGTTCCAAAACTGAGAAAGATCTCTTAAAACCTACTTTTTAATGTTGACGATGACTAAGTAAGGGTCGAAGAAATTCAGAAGAACGGAATTAGTTCGTCTAATTAGTTCTGAAATATGCTTGAAGTTTTTTAAATAACACCTGCTCATGGAATTCAAGAATACATGTTGATTTGTGGAGAATAGAAATGTATGTGTGTGTTAGTAGAGATTGACTAATAGAGATTTTTATACAAGTGAAAAATTCTGGAATCGTTGGGATTTAAAAAGCGAAATTTTCAAGTAGCTTTAAAAACAGGATGTGCTGCGAAATGAAAAAGATTTATGAAACCGCAGGCGAAAAGTGGATGTACAAAAATCGTCATATATGTGTTGGGATAAACTAACTTCCCAGTTGATAATTTGCCAACCACACATCTTAAAAATAAAACTTGAATGTTTTAAAACAATTTTGGAGAACTAGTTTTATTTACTTGAGTTGTAATTTCGATTATTATAATTAAAATCCTATGTCAATATAAATAATGTTGTTATGATTCTAGCTGTTCTCAGCTAGCAGTTAGAAAAAATCATAGTTTGCACCGCTAGACAAGAATTGGTAATTTTTTTAAATGATGACAAATTCTGCAAAATTATATTAATTTTGTTCTGAAAGAAATCGTCTAAATTAATAAAATAACGCTTTTTAATCATTTGAAATGAATATATTATTTTTGAGCAGGTCTTCCGTAATATTCAGGGCTATCTTTTTATTGGAAATGAAGATTCGGGCTTTTCCTCGTTGCAAAATATTGTTTTTTATTCAAAAACAAACGGCTCTACCAGTTTCGGTCACGGTCTGCGACCCTATTTCATGAGCAAGAAAAAATACAAAAAATCAGCAAAATTTAAAAAACCACATTTTAACATAAAAATAAAAATCTTAAAACTAACAAATTCAAGTACCAACCTATTTTTGAATTTGTTAGTTTTAAGATTTTTATTTTTATGTTAAAATGTGGTTTTTTAAATTTTGCTGATTTTTTGTATTTTTTCTTGCTCATGAAATAGGGTCGCAGACCGTAACCGAAACTGGTAGAGCCGTTTGTTTTTGAATAAAAAACAATTTTTTGCAACGAGGAAAAGCCCGAATCTTCATTTCCATGATCATCTCCTCGAGTGTCAACTTCTTCAAACAATATCTTTTTATTATTATACTTTAAAAAAATATTTTTAGCTACAAAATCTGAAGATAGCCGAAATTCTACTTTTTTAAGCTATGCACATCATTATTATGTAACAATTTTTAAAATTTTCTACTGAGTACTGTTGCGCCTTTTTTTTCGTCAAAAATATTTTAATAAAATTCAATATTTAAAGAAAATAATTATTGAATTATGCAGTATTTTTACCCCAGTTTTTCTACGACACGAGAAAAGATTTAAAAACTCATAAAGAAAATCTGACTCAAAATTCGATATGGTTAAAATCCTTTTTTTCCGTGATTTTTCAAAAAAGCTTTTTCTATTTTGGCCTCCGAGGGCTCCGAGGCTCGCAACGAGGCGCGCTTTTGTGATGTCAGCCTCGCCTCTTCGACACTTTTGCTTATCCATGCACCACCTACCGAGTAGCTCTAGAACTAAAATCAGAGTTCAGACTTTTCACTGGCAATCCCTCGGCCAATCCCTCGGCAATCCACTATCCACCTTATATCCACCGTAACCTTGAAACGAAACGAGACAACTTCTCCGTTCACAAGTTTTTGTTGTGTTTATTTTTGCCTCGAAATGTAAACAAAGGAAAAGGTTTTCAATATGCGCCAATCTTCCGAGGATCTTGATCTCCAATCGAAAACTTGAGCTACACAGATTCATTGTCCACATAGAGCGAAAAAGTGCATGTTGACAAAATAGCTAATTTTCTAGAAAAAAAGATGATTGTCCTCTCACGGAAGCACAGTCAAAAAGAGGTATACCTACATACTTTATGATTTATAAACTAATAACTAATCCCTACGAAACACTTAATATCTAAACTTTTGTTGCTTTGACAGTGATTAAGAGCGCAATGGAGGGACCAAAGGTCAAAAATTTTATTCAAGAAATCAACGTTTGGCGAGGGAAATGGTGCTTCGAGTGCGATCAGTGGGTGAAAAACGACCGTTACCCCAATCCTGACCCAAATCAAGCAAATGATGGACAAAATAACAATTTTTGGAAGCGACACGAAGCGTCCGAAGAGCATCGAGAATGCAAAAAAACCCGTGGTGGTTTCCTGAAGGGCAAACGATGGGACGGGTTCACAATTGTCGCCTCGGTCACAGGTAAAAAATTATAGTCAAATAAGAAATTTGCAAAATCAATTTGTATTTTAATTTTTAGATGGGCAGAGGAATCTCGAGTTTAGAGAGATGTGTCAGGCTATGCGAAGACACGGATATACGACTAGGCTGTTCCTCGAGGAGGACGTTTACATAGTCACTTACAGAGAAACGTAATGAACAATTCCTTAAAAAAAAAAATTATTTCAAAGTAAATATGCAGGTGGAGCGCAGAGTCGGCGTTGAGTTCAGCCAATTTCTACAATGGCAGGCAGATCTCGGTCAAGCCCATGCTGTCGGACATTCCTGCAAGAGTCGCAAAGCCGACTGTCAATATGAAAGACTTGCAGCTGAATGCAAATGAGTCTTGGGAGAAGCAAGCCGAGGAGTTGGCAATCGCCTTCAAAGTGCTTGTGACGCCTGCTGAAATTGCCAGAGATGAGCAGAGAGTGGACCGACTGCTCTCCGACGTCCGCGGAGTTCTCAGAGAGGAATTTGAAGATGTTCGGTGCTTTGTTTTTGGGTCGAGAGTCACCGGGCTGGTCTGCATTGACAGTGACGTTGACATTCAAGTGAAATTAGGTATAACACATTCAAACGTTGAAACCTTTTTATATGAATTTCTAAATATTTGAAAATCTTTAAGCGATAAAAGCATTCAAAATTTTTAATTGTATCAAAAACTAAATTAACTCTCGATTAGACCTCAGTTAGGGAATTCATTTACTCTTTTTAGTCACCTTTTTAATTATTATTATTTTCTTACATCAAATTTATATTTGCATAAAAAAATATATTCAATAACGATCTACCAAATTAAATTTTTATTTTAGATAAAAGAAACTGAAGAGAAAATTTTCTCAAATTACAATTTTCTGGATACTTTTATTTGCAAATGAGAATAAAATTTGGTGACTGAGTTAAATTGTTCTTTTTAAGTTTCTGCATTCTGAATTTAAAATTTTAATTGATATTTGTTATTTTAAATAATTACATTTTATAATTTTCTAAGATCCCGTTTATTATTATTATTATTTTTTTTAGAATTGACTGGAACTGAGTTCGAGAACATGGCAACTGATCGTGATGTCCACGAAACACTGATGAGACTGTGCTACAGACTGTTCCGCAAAAGCAAGCCTTATTTCACCCAAATCCTGCCCATTTACTCGGCTCGCATCCCTGTCCTCCACATGCTGCACAAACCGACATTGCTTGCGTGCGACCTGACGTTCAAAAACATGCTGGCCGTGCAGAACAGCCAATTTCTCAGGTTCATCGTTTCGCAAGATAAACGCATCTTTTTCTTCTTCCTGATTGTCAAGTTGTGGAAAAAGGCGCGCAACCTCAACTTTTCCACCTACAGTCTCACTATGCTGGCCATTTTCTACCTGCAAAACCTACCTCGACCGATGTTGCCTCCAATTCTGGATCTCAAAGTTCCCTCGGACTCTCCGATGCAAAAATGCAACATCCTAGACACGCCCTTGAAGATCGAGAGTGAAATCTCCTTGAAAGACCTGGTGGTCGGCTTCTTCAAATTTCTGCCAAATTTGGACTTTGGCGTTGAGGTTGTTTGTCCTTTGCTGGCGACGACAATCGAGAAGTGGAAATTCAGGCAGAGAGAAACCCTTCCTGATGTGTTGAAGGAACTGGCCGATTTAAATGAACACGATTGTCTCCAAACTGGAAAACCAGCGTGTGTCCAAGATCCATTTGAGTTGAACCATAATGTTGTCAAAGGGGTCAGCCAACGGCAGCTCCGAGAGTTTGTCAGCCTCTGCACCAAACTTGCCCACCTCTGTGATAGTAATCAAAAGCTAGGTCTGAAAGGTAAGCTATTTTTTTCAGTGCAGTATTTTTTGTTATTTTTTTAAGTATAGTGAAACCAGCAGAGAAGATAATTATTCAAATTAATTTGTCTTTGATCATTTCAAACTCTGCTGGGAATATTTGCTTAATTTTTTCAGTTAGTGTTTCATAACTTGCAGTTGGTTTTTATATTGGAATTAATCACAAAATTTATAGGAACCTTTAGTTTCAGGTCAAAAAGTCGTTAATAATAAAATATATAACATTGTAAATTTAATTATTTTTAATTAATTGTTTTTTAACGATGGTTTACTTCTGATAGAAGTAATTAATTATACTTTTGCTTGACTGCAGATCTGTTGAATTTCACCCCATCCAACAAGGAACGAAAACCAAACAACCAAGAATTCGATTACAAAATTTGGCTCCAAGACTACCTCCCCAGCATAGAGCTGCTGCAGAAAACTCTTATCCGAGAATTGTGGTTCAGAGACGTGGTCGATGCAATCTATCACATCTTCACTGATGTCCTGACTTGCCATGAAGTAAAAAACGGCGACTCCCAATCTGATTCTGGTCAGCCACCCTCAAAGATGCAGAAAATGCCCCCGGCTAGGAGCGACGACCTGGCCAGTTGGGAGTTTGCTACGCCCATCATTCTGCTCACCTCTAGAAAGAAGCACAACTTGACTGTCAATGGCTGCCCCTTTGTAAAAGAGTTTCTCATCACCAAAGTCATGACCAGCCAGTATTACAAAGACACAAGTTCCATTGACGAGAAGTTCCACCTCAAGTTTAAGTTAGACGTGACCTCAAACCGAAAACCCGCCTTTGTCAACCTCCACATCACAAACAACGGAACAGCCTTGGACACCTTCCGAACCCTGCAAAGGTACGTCACGCAAGATTTGCTGGCGCTGGTCAACAAAACTGTTTTGTCTCCATACAAAGAGGAGCTGGAAAAGTTGAACCAATGCAGCTCGCTGGAGGGACAACTGGAAATGTTTGTCGTGCAAAACCCTGAAAGTAAACCTCAGCCAGAAAGTGGGGAAGGTAGTATACCTAAGCAAACCTCCACCAACCCCTTTTTGCAAGCAATCGAGAAGTTTGCTTAGAATTTAGTATTGAAATAACAAGACTGGCATTTCGACGTGCCTTTGATTTTCTGATTTTATTGCAAAAGTCTACTTAAAGAGTTTTCTTTGATGCAGCTTTGATGGCGTTCAAATAAATTTTGAATTATTCACAAATAAATCCCATTTTTTGATCGCAATTTTCATTGGACAGGCCAAAACCTGCCGGATCCAGGGTGACGAAAACGCAGGTGGAATTTGCGGTCCGAGACGGCTGACCTGGCAGCCACAACTTTTCGTTTGTGTCAAATGCAGTGTTGGTGCTGCACCACTTGTAGTTTCCACGGCAGCCATAGTTCAATCCGCTGACCCAAAATTTGGTTGTCGAACCCACCACTGTCGGCGAACCTATTTGGAATTGACTTTTTTTAATTTTCACATTAAAAACCATAAAATTTACTTTTGACGAAGCTAGCCAGGCACTTGATCTCTGTGACCTTTTCCATTGAAGCTAATCTCGTGCTCAAAGTACAACAAGCCTTTACTGCTTCCGCGTATGTGCCCTTCAAATTTTTAATCTCGTGTATAAATTTTAATTTTTAACAATTTTTACTAATTGCTGAGCAAAAACGTATTCTTTTCCGCAAGTAGTTTGGAAGGAACCTGTTCCTGGCGGTACTATTTTATTTTTTAGAGAAAATTAATTTGTGAAAAGAAAAGAGGAAATTGCTCTAACACATTCCGTTTCTGGCCATCGTCACCACCATTGGCTGCATAAAAGAAAAGAATGGGTTTCAATTTCTCTCTTGTTTTGCAAAAAAATATTACATTATATGCGCAGGCGTCGGAACCATTGACAGGGGGACACGTTTGATTCGGACAAACCACGGGTACTTCTGTGGTGGTCGTGGTCAATTTAGTGGTAGTCGTTGTGGTTGTTGTTTCGGTGGCGCCTGCAGCTGGACCGCCCCATCCTCCTCCTACTCCCCCTCCTCCTCCTCCGTTTGCCACCGTTGTAGCGGTGGTAGTTGCAACGGTGGTTGTTGAAGTGGTGGTTGTTGTGTCCACAGGCTGAGTGGTTGTGTCTTGCAGTGGAGCAGCAGTGGTGGTTTCCACAACGGCGCCCCCTCCACCTCCTCCTCCTGCAGCACCTCCAGTGCCTGAGCCACCACCGGCTGCGTTTCCAGCCGTGTCTGCTGCACCTCCACTTGCAGCACCCGCTGCGCCCCCTGTTCCTGCATCTGCAGCGGCACCACCACTCCCAGCCGCAGCATCTACCTTAATTGAGAGCAATATTACGTTCAATTGATTATTTATTTTAATTTAGTGATACGCATTCAGGTGAACAAAAAGGAAAATTTTCAATTCAGTTTGAATATTTTCTTTTATAGACCTGACGGTGTTGCATTCGGGTCAACTTATACTCCTCTAAATTTAAGAAATAATAAAAAGTCAGTACAAAGTATTTTGCAGGGTTGTAAAGGAATTGTTTTGCGGAGGTTGCATAATCAAATATAAAAAATCGCTTAATATGATAATAATTATTTTTTAAAAAGTCCTATATTTGAAAATACCAAAATAATATTACGTCCATCTGAATACAACCCTTCATATAAAAAGGGTATTTTATAAGCATTTTACTTGTGAAAAAGCATTTCCTTCCTAACAAGGTTCCATTCTATATTTAGTTGTTGAAGTTCCTAGTTAAGTTATTTTTAAACCAAATGTATATTTATTAGCTTCAAACCAAATCTGAGATTTTTTTTTTCTTTTCAAATTTAATTTTAATTGAAACAAGAAAAAGTTTTTATTTTTACTGTTTGCGATGAATCTGTCGTAGCATCGCCTGTAGTTCCACTGCCACCAGACGAATCAGTACCTGCTGCTCCCGCATCAGCCGCTGCAGCACCTGGGTCTGCCCCAGCACCACCTTTTTTAAAATTAATTTGAGTAAAAAATAATCCGTAATATATTTGAATGCATTTTAATAAATAAATAAATTTTTTTACTATCGGAAGGAGCTGCGGAAGATGATTTTCCTGCGCCGGCATTATTTTCCGATCCCGCCGCTTTGCCAGAGTTTGAATCTGGATAGTCTCCGTCATAAGATGCGTCTGAACCGCCTGAACCATCACAGGTGGTTGAACCGCCACAGCATTTCAACAGGATCAAACGATTGCCTAAATTCAAACGGGTTTTGCATACAGCAATCCGACACTGTTCAAGTGAATTGAACCATTATTGGTGTGGTTGCCCCTTCTGCGGTTGATGGTGATGTGGACCCTATTTCCCGACACAGCGTTAACCTTGATGTTCTGCACTCGGCCGGCTCCGTTGCCCCTTTGGATTAAGATGTTGCCGTTACCACCACTTCCGCTGCGAGGCTTCAGTTCTTTGAATTCAATTTATCATAATATGACAAATCAAATTAAATATAATTTTTGCACTTCTAAACTTGCCATTTCTGCTCTTTTCTGTTGAAACTTCTAGAGCCAGGTAGAATATCTGGGTTTGAAATTTTGGCGATTTTTTATGATGGCAGTTAAGAGAATTTAATATTTTACACTGATCAAAAGGATAAATTTCCATACTAGGGTCATTTTACTCCTATCCTAGGCAGGCCAGGCAAACATATTTCAGGTGCAGTAACTTGGAAACTACGCCCGACACATTTTCAAAGGGAAGTGTTCGTCAGATATGTCAGGACTCATTAAGTGGGGAAATTTTCTCATCAATCATTTTTTTTTGCAGTTTCCTCAATTCTTGATTGGAATAAAAATTTGTTTCACCTAACTGTTATTTTGTAATGGATAAAACAAGTTCACTCTTCTTCTTCTATGTGAGTGCAAGGGTTTATCTCGCCGTGGGTTATTTAAATTGCAACTAAATACTATAAAACAGTCAAACCAAAACCCAATGAGAAAAGCTGTTTTAAACTGAGGATAATTAATAGAGCTTTACCCAGACGTTTTCGTTGCAAAATCTGATTTATTTATTTTAGAGATCCAAATTTGTTGAAAAAGTTAAAATATATTTTGCGTTTCAAACGGAAGAATTTTGTGCAGCAGCTTAAATGAAACCCTAAATTTTCCTTGTTCTATTTGAAGAAATTTAACATTTAAAAAAAAATGATAAAAAAAATAAATAAAAAATAAACAAAACGCCATCAGAGCTCTGATTTTTGTAAAGAGTAGCAGTGGCAAGAAGATTCGTTAAAAAATGTACCTTTTTTAATACATCATAACCTAGGAATGGTTTTCCTTTTATTCATTTTATTAGAGCTAAATAATAATTGGAAATTCGAAATTCTACATGAAATATTTTCTTTCTTGATATTTTTCAATGGAAGAATTTTTTTTAACCAAAAATTATTATTATTTTTTTATTTCATGAAAATTTATGCCAATGGAAAAATGAGCAAAGCGAACAATAACAGAAATCGCCATTTTTTCTATTACTTTGCATTTTGTTTCACTGAAAATATCAAATGTTTCCCTATCTCGCTTTGTGCAATTTTTTTTGTTACTATAATTCATAAAACTCATGACGTGGCCGTCATTACATTTCAACGCGCGCTTTACATAGGTTTTGACCAGCCTACAGAACTGTGTCACTCATTTCCTGCTATTTTTCAGATATCACATCAAACTATTAAAACGTCAGCAGTACATAGGTGCGCCAAATTTGCAACAAAAGGAAAAGTGAGTGTACAAATTTAAAAAATTTACAGATTTTATCGAGAAAGAATAATGATATATTAATTCCAACAGTCAATAATTGAATTGCTCATTTGATTTTGGAATTTTTAGCGATACCGATTGTATGAGTCCCAAAATTAAAATAAAAAATTAACACGTCATATGAAAAAGCTCTCGTTGGATCGTCAATTATTTGTACAAATAGAACAAATTAAATTATAAAAAATATAATTTTTTTTCTCGGAAGTAATTAAAAAAAATATTAAACGTTGATTAAGGAGAGATCATTGATAGATCCGAGATAGGAGTCGGCAAACAAAAATAAACTCAGATTGTTGGGTGCGGGGCGAAAGGACAAATAGATTAAATATAGCTCTGGTGTTGTGAAAGGCTTTAATTACATCATAGCAAATAAGTCAGCTCATTTGTTTGCCACGCTTTTAACATTCAATATTCATCATAGAAGATCTTGTGCGTTGCACCTTGAGATAATAAGTTGTGTTGCCGATAGTCCCCACTCAAATAATATACGCACTTTTTACAGTCGTAGGAAAGTGAAATGCGCCTCAGGTAGTGTTAGATTCCGTTTGGTGTCAGACGGACAAACGTGCGTGGTGCTCCAGTGTTTCATTACCTTATAAAACTACTTGGGAGGAAAATAGCAAGTAGCGGAACAGTGAGTTTCTCTTTTTTTATTACACTTTTTGAAATTGAAAAGTATATTGATTGAACAATGAAAAGCTTATTTGGGATTACAATTTCTTACAATTCTATTTTAATTTTTTTTATTTTCATTCTCTTTTGGAAAAGGCGCAACATAAAACCAATTAAATTGTTGGAATTTCATGCGATAATAGCAATTTTATAGGATGAACCCAGTTTATCCTAAATTAATTTTATTACAATTTCTTTTTTAAAGTAAAAAATAGCCTAGTTTCAGCTACTATATGTGCAGCGGGCGCAGCCATATTCAAATAAGAAAAATTAGCAAACTTTTGCTAGTGGTTGTGCCGTTTTTGCAAACAAGTCCCTTCCATTCAAATAAAATGCTATAATCAAAAATTTAATGAATACAATTTGATTGTTACAATTGGAAAAATATAAAGCAATCACTAATATAATTAATTTTTTTTAATTTAATGAGTATTTTCATAATTAGAATAGGTTTTATAAACATAAATTTTCATAGAAACAGAGGATTTAATTGTATAATTTTTTAAATTAATTATTAATCATCAATTTCTGGGGTTTTGATTGATTTGTTTCACCAGTGTATGTTGACGGGATTTTCACTTCACCTTTGGAAGGGGATGTTAGCGATTTTCCAAAAGTCTCCATCAGCGAGTACCTGCTATCATTAGTCGAAAAGAACGGTCTCTCTGATTCAGAGAAGCCATGGGTGGTGAGCAACAAGAAACTAACTAGTATGAATTAAAAGAAAAACTATTTAAAAAAATAATCAACAATTTTAGATTGACGCTCGAACAGAAGTGCAGGTTTTGTTCAAAGAAATTGAACCTTTGTCAAGGAAAATCGCGAGTGGACTGGCCAGATTGGGTTTCAAGAAGCGCGACATCTTGTACTTTGTGACCTACGAGACGGCCCAGTTGTACTTGGTGCAATTGGCCGTCTGGAGACTTGGAGGGGCCGTTAGGGGATGCTACCAGCAAGAAGCTCCAGGTAAAATAAAAAATTATTAACGGAAAAAATTAATATTTTTTAAGAAAAATATTAGAATACATAAATAATTTTAGTTTTTACTTTCAAGAGAATTTTTTTGATGGCGAATATTTAGTTTTAAGAGAAAATATATGTTTCATTATAATTATGTAATAATTTGTTGATCACAACTATAATTGCAAAAGAAAAAAAATATAAAAATATAATTTTTTATTTCATATATTAATGTTGTTTTTAGAGGAATACGCAAGACAGTTGCGAGAGACTCGGTCAAGGTTCATCCTGATTGACAGTGAAACCGAGGCCCGGATGAAGCAAGCAGCGCAAATGGTTGACTTGCAAGTTTCGTTTTTGTCCTTCGGAGAGGTGCAGGACGCGGTGCCTGTTGCGAAATTAATGACAGACGACGGCACAGGTTATTTTATTCAACTGTCCATTAATTTACAAGAAAAAGATCCCAAATGGAGTTGCGTCGGTCTGTTTATGACTATCATTAAAATGAATTAAAATATATTGCAGCGTTCCCTGACAAGGTCGAGTTTGACAGCGACGACGTTATCATCATTCCAAATACCAGCGGCAGCACCGGACTGCCCAAAGGTGTTCTCCACACGCACGCAACTTACATCGCATTGTCCCACAATCGCAAGTAAATAAATAATTGTATTCTATTAAAAAAGACACACAAAAAAATTAATATTTGTCAATAAAATTGTTGACTCTTTGCTATTTGCGTTGATAAAGTGGAAATTTCCGCAACGAGTTATCATAATATTATGTCAGCAAATATTATTTATTTATTAGAATCATTCCATCTTTTTGATCCACAAAGATATTTAATAATTGAATAATAGAACTATTAAATCTTAAACTGAAACGTGAACAATTACTGCAAGCATAATTCGAAATATTAACAGATATTTTTATTTAGTTTTATTTTCGATTTTGATTTGGTATAGTGGCTTGAAAGAATTATTTTAAATAAAATATGCCAGCAATCATCTTCATTAAATAAAATATTTATTAAAATTGCGTTAAAAAGTGAATTTCAACTGATTTCAACAATAAAGTTGTCAACATACTTTGATATTACGAAGTGAACAACTTAAGTTGGTTATAATTAGAAAGCAACAATCTAATAAAATTAAATTTTAAAGAACTATTTTTTAAATTACTATATTATTTATTCATTCTTATTGGTCAAAAGAATTCTTCATTTTATTTTTGTACTTTTAAAAGCGTATTTTAAAAATATTCTTACTTAGCATTTTGCAGCATTTTGCCATTTTTGCCTAATTATAAGAATATTTTTTGCATTATTTTTGTGTCCAATGATTTCGTCTAAATTTGAATGGGTTACTTTTTCAAGGACACTGAGTCGCGTCTTGGACTTCAATTTTATGACGCCGATGAGCAATTTCGCCGTCGGCAGTTTCATGCTGACGGCCAATACTATTGTTCACGGCGTCACAATCATCCACTTGGGAAAGTTCGTGCGCGAGGAGTACATCGGCAACCTGATTAAGTACAAGGTGGGTTTAATGCTTATTATATACATTAATTTCGGTTCTGAGAACAAGACCAAATTTGCAGCCTGGAAACTGCCTGATGTACCCGTTCGTGGCCTCCTGGTTTGCCAGGTGTGACGAAATTGAAAAAGTGGACCTTGGATTTTTGAAAATGATTTCCTGCGGCGGGTCTGTGCTCGACGTGACCACCGCAGAACTCCTCGTCAAAAAGTTGCCGCATATCCGTTTGGCACAAGTAAAATTTCAATTTCCTTTTATTAATTTTTCCTAACTTTTCAATAAACAAAAATGAAAGAAACAAAAAAGTAAATCAATGTTTAGTTTTATGGTATGACAGAGTGCCTTGGAATATCAAACACGGAAATTGAGAGGACCGAAGAAGAGGCAAATATGCCACTAATTACAGCCGTCAATGAAGGTATCTTTAAATTAGAGAGTAAATAAGGAATTAAGTCATAATAATGTTGAATTGCCAGGAGAAACGTGCGTTTCGTCTGGAAAACTTGGTGCCTGCGTTAAAGTGAAGGTAAAAATCAGATAAAGATTGAAATGAAAATTTGAAGAAAATTAAATTACAGATCATCGATGAGAAAACTGGTCTAAACTTGGGTGCCAATGAAAGAGGCCTTGTATATGTGCACTCGCCAATGATCATGAAAGGGTACCTGTCTGAAAACAGCAAAGAGGTGCAAACCTAAAACTTTCTTTTATTTAAAAAAAAAAATTAAAATAAAAAAATTATAATAATCATCTCCTAGCCTGTGAGAAAGGACATAGATTCAGAAGGTTGGTTGAAAACTGGAGACGTTGGTTTCTTTGATGAAAGGGGCAATATTTATATTGTTGAGAGGGTCAGCTTCATGTTCAAGTACTTCATGTTTATTGTAAGTTTATTTTTTAATTAATTTTAGATGATCATTCAATTCAGATTTTTTCCCCTCAAATTAAAAGTAAAATGATCAATTTGAGAGTTTGAAGTCATTTTTACAAAATAATTCCTAATTTAGTTCCTAAAATTTTTATTATATTCTTGTAAAAGGTATCGCCGACGGAAATAGAAGCAGTTCTGCAGGAACATCCTGACGTGCACGAGGTTGGGGTGGTGGGGGTTCCGCACCCTGAGAGCACCAGCGTGGCCAGGGCGTTCGTCGTTTTGAAACAGGGTCGCATGTGCAGCAAGGAAGAACTGAGAAATTTCGTAGCCGAACGGTTGCCTACTTACAAGCACTTGCACGGAGGGGTCGTGTTTGTGGACAGTTTGCCGGAGAGCAGGGGCAACAAACTCGACCGACCGGCGCTCAAGAAACTTGCAATCGAGCAAGGCCTTTGAAATTAAATTAAAACTAATTTGAATTAACGTGCAAAGTATTTAAAACGTAGCTCAATAACACAGTTTAACCAAAAACAATTTAATAAAAGTTTTCAGTTTTTATAAAATTTAAAAAATTATTTTATTTTATATTTCATATCTAATGTGTGACGAAAAATGTTAAACATGCATAAATTGAAATTTATGGAGCATAGTAATAAAAATTTCATATCGACAGTCGACACAGTTGACCTCAAATTTTTGGTTGTCAAATTCGTTTTAATCTGGTTTTGACGCACGGCCAATAGAATAATAAAAAGTCGACTATATTTTATAATTTATTCATAAATGATATTATCTTAACTTTTACTTATTACTTATACAACGTAGCGCAGGCCTGGCACAGGCAAAGAAAAAGCTGACGGTTGAAAATGTAATAATAAATAAAACTTGACAAGGAAATAGCATCAATGGCATCAGCATTTTAATTGGTTTCATACACAGAATACATAGTTAGTCTGTGGTTTCGTAATGCGTCGGAGGCAAGAGGTCAAGCAAATACTACACAAATTATTTGAATAGTCCTGCTATTTCAAATCCGGACAGAGATTTTCTGGTCAGTAGAGATCGGCATTTTCAACAACAAGGATGGACGAAGAATTCGTAGTGCGTTCGCCGATCGGCATGGATCCGGTTGAAATTCCAAACATCTCTTTCCCCGATTTCGTACTCGCCAAAGTGGAAAAAAATCTACCATTGTTGGGCCAGAAACCGTGGCTGGTAGTAAATTTAAATTATTCAATGAAAAAGTTTTGTAAAAAAAATTTAATTTAGATCGACACAGCTTCTGGAAACACGGTTTACTTTTCCGAAGTTGAATCAAAGACGAGAAAAATTGCCAGTTTTCTAGCCCGAAATGGCTTCAAAAAGGGTGACGTTTTGCATTTTGTGACATACAGGACGGCGTTTTCTTGTTTAATCCAATTCGCCGTCTGGAGACTGGGTGGTGTTACTAGAGGAAGTTACCAGGCCGAAATCATAGGTAAAAGTTTGTAATAAGCGTAATAAGCTTAAATGATAATTAATATATAAATAAATTAAATTAGGTTAAAATGATATTAAATAAAAAAAATTTCTTTGTTTTTTAAATAAAAAAGTAACAGCAAGAAGTCTTGGGACAAAGTAGAAACAAGTATAAAAATAAATAAATTTAATCAACCAAGGCTCTCAACGACAAATAATGAGGTCTTTTTTACTTACTTTGCAAATTGTTACCTTTTTTACAAAAATTTCATCTTTTACACCCGAATTGATTATATTTTTGTTAAATTTCTTGTAACAATCGGTCACATAAACAGCAGCTCAATAACATTAAAAAATTTAAATTCAAAATTTATTTGTATTAATTTTGCATAATTTATTTAATATTTATTAGTTGTCATTTTTTTTCATTTATATTTAACGTATAGAGAGTTATGAGGGCGTTTTGAAAGAAACCAAGTGCAAATTTGTAATGGTCGATGATGAGACCGGACATCTTTTGCAAGCGGCCATCGGTGGCCTTGACTGGAAAGTGACCCTAATCACGATTGGCGACAGGTTGCTCAGGGGAGCCATAACTCTGGCAGAAATTCTCGAAGATGACGGCACAGGTAAAATAGAAAAAAAACATGGAATTGGTAGAGATTAAATTTCTATGAAATATAGCATTTCCGAAAAGCATTCCTATCGATCCAAAAGAGGACTTGATGTGCATTTTCAACACAAGTGGAACAACAGGAAAGCCTAAAGGCGTTTTGCACTCGCACTACTCGACCATCGCTATTCTGACCAGTTTCCAGTTTGCAAAAAAATTACAATAATTTTATTTGGATTTAATTCTCTCTTTGTTGTACAGTGGGTTGAAGTGCATGCCAACCAAATCTTTTATGGCTTCCACATCAAATTTCGGCGTTGTCAATTTTGTGCACGGGTTTCTGGCGCTCTGTCAGGGTTGCACCTTTTACCACATCGCCAAATATGAGCAGTCAAATTTCTTTGATTTGATTTTCCACTACAAGGTAACTAAAAAAAATTACTTTTTTAATCCTGTTCCGCCAAATTTAAATTTCTAGCCAAGCAACATTATTTTGTATCCGTACGTTGCAACCTGGTTTGCAAAATGCTCAGCCGAGCTGACCGAAATCAAAGCGATGGACATTTTGGAAAGCATATCCATCACAGGATGGGTCCTGGACTACGCGACCACAAATTTGTTGGTGCATCAACTTCCAAAAACGATGCTTATCACAGTTAAGTTTTGTCAGGATTTTTATTGTAAAAATCGCAATATTTTTTCTTTTAGTGGTTTCTTCTGAATTAATGACTCATTAAGTTTTACGTTTGTATTTTTGTCTTATTAGTAATGAGACAAAAATAAAATCCAGGATCTGATCCAAAAATATTGATCGATATTATAAACAAAATTATCAGAAATTTGCAAAATGTATTTTTAAATTTTATTAAAGATGTACGGATTGTCTGAGTGTTTCCACGTATCCGTCGGATCATACAATGAAGCAGGAAAATTGCCGCCAATCGATTTTGAAGGTATAATTCAATTAGGAATATTAACAAAATAAATTAAAAATTTAAAAACAGGAGGAAAGAGCGTCTCCTCAGGGAAACTTATTCCGATGTATGAGGCGAAAGTGAGTTATCAGAAAAATAGGATTGATTTTAACTGATCTAAAATAAAAATTGTCTGCAGGTCGTGGATCCCGAGTCAAGGGACAATTTGCCTGTGGGCGCGAAGGGCGAGATTTTGGTGCGCAGTCCGACAATGATGCTGGGATATTTGGTGCCGGGCGGACAAGTGATAAAGCAAGAAATTTTTTGAAAACAGGAAAAGCTAAATCCGAGTGTCAATATGAATTGCAGCCAAACAGGGCCGACATAGACAAACATGGGTGGCTCAAAACAGGGGACATTGGCTACTTTGATAAGGATGGGAATATATACATCCAGGAGCGCATCAAGTTCATCTTCAAATATTTCATGAGAATGGTAAATATCGAAAGTCTAAAAATACATAATTTTGTCTTCATTCTTGACCAAAGAGGTTAAAATTTTGAAATAATACGTTTTGTAGTAAAATCGATAAAAATATGTCACTAATTTGAATGAAAATTTTCCGTTATTCATTAATACAAAAAAATTATTTGTAAAAAAAACTTCATTGTATATATCAAATCATCAATTCATTCAATTCATTTTTATAACTCTTCATTTGAATTTTAATTACTACAGATTTATTTCGTTAATAAAACTCAACGAAAGTCTTTTGATTTTGAATTCGTAGGTGTCTCCGAGCGAGATAGAATCTGTGCTTCAGGAGCACCCTGACGTCGTGAGCGCAGGAGTGGTTGGAGTTCCCGACCCTGAGAGCACGTGCCTTGCCAGGGCACTCGTCGTCCTCCGCCCGGGCAAGGAGCGAAACGCAAAAGAATTGTACAATTTTGTAGCCGACCGGTTGCCTAACTACAAGCATTTGCACGGAGGGGTCCACTTTGTGGAGAAACTTCCGGTCAACGCTGCTGGCAAAATGGACAGGAAGACCCTGATGGCAATGGCCATTGATAAAGAGCTTTCAGGATTTTCCACCGAATTTTGAATTTCAATCTTTATGCATTTAAATTCGTGGTTTAACAGCAGGGTGACAATGAGCTTCAAAATAACTGATAAAAAAATGCAGTTTTTGTTACTCATAAATAGAGATTCAATCATGGATTGACCTACTTTTTTAAAAATTAAAAAAAAAAATGAGAAGAAAAATTTTTCATTGGGGAACCTTGAATTTTGAACAATAATTTCAAATCAAATTTAACAAAAAGAAGAAGAAAAATTAATTTTTGGCGATGTAATTAAATTATAAAAAAAAAACAAGCGGTTTGCTTCATTATTTGTTGGCGGTACAGCAATTGAAAATAAAGGACATAATTATTCAAGTTTTCAAAGTTTCACGGGAAATGAACCGTTCGGACTAACAATCCACAACATTCGACTCTTCGGATGGGCTACAGATTTTATTTTTGTATTACACTGAGCAAACTTCCAAAAATAATAATAGTATTTAATGAATTTTATATTTTATTGCATAAGAAAAACTAGATCATGAAAAATCATATTCATGTGGGGATAAAATTTCAAAAAAAAAAAAAAAAAAAAAAAAAACTATGTTATAAGTTGTAAGAATATAAGATTGACATTAGTAAAATAAAAATTAACATAAGATTTTTTTTCGTCAAAAAGATCAAAAATAATTTAAAATATTTTGATTCAAAGGTTTGATTATTATTAAATATTGTAATTAATCATTGCATCACTTCAATTATTTTGTGTCGCAAGATATCGTGATAATTATAGAAAATAATAAGCACGGTGGCGTTTTACCCTTTTTCAATTGTCTCCAATACACATGGGTCTGACTGAATCAGTAATTAATGAATCCACGGCAAGCAAACCTAAAAGTTTGTAAGTCAAACACGTATGTAGAAAGGGACAATTATTACTAGTTGACGTCAAAGGAGTCTATTAAATAAACAAACTTGGAAACTACAACCGGTGTTTTTGTTTCGACTCCGTGCGCAATTCTTGAATAAAATATAAATTTGACGGTGATATAAAGACGTGTAAAGGATAGTTGGAATTCAGTTGGAAACATATTCCTCGCTTGAATTATATTTTTGGATTAAAAATATGCACATAATTAAATCTCCGGTCGAGGGCGACGCGTCCGAAATCCCTCTTATTCCACTCGCAGAATTGCTGATGTCGAATTTGGAGAAAAATTTGGAGAAGTGGAAGGACCAGCCTTGGATGGTAAATTAAAATTTGAAATTCACTCTTGAATGATTTTTTACTTTTTGGAGGAATTTAGATTGACGTGAATTCAGGCACGTCGGTCACTTTTGGGGACGCGTACGAGAAGAGCAAAAATGTAGCCAACGTCTTGGCACGACTGGGATTCAAACAGGGCGACGTACTTTACTACGTGACTTTCGAAATGGCCCAAGTTTATGTGGTGCACCTTGCGGCCTGGCTCCTTGGAGGGGCCGTTCGGGGCTGTTTTCAGGGGGAAGCGCCAGGTTGGTTAGTTCATATAAATGTTAAATAAACAACACTCTATTCCAGTCCAAGTTTTATATTTATTTTAAAATAAAATTAACATGAGCTCTGATACTGATGAAAGAAGCAAGCCAATGCTTTGAAAACGATTCAAATTTCTAACTGTTCTAGAATCTTACTTTTCCGAATAAAAATTTAAATTTTGTGGTAGAATTTCACAATCGAGGGTTGATTCATGGTGATTTGAATTTAAAATCGGCTTTTCCTTGATGGGTTTTTGAGAATTGTTTATTGTTTCAGAAAAAAATATTGCAGGATATTGTTTTTTCTGAAACAATAAACAACTCACAAAAACCCATCGAGGAAAAGCCGATTTTAAATTCAAATCACCAAAAATTTAAATCTTTTACTTCATTTAGAAAAATTGATTCCTGAATGAAGAATGAATTTATTTCTGATAAGAAGGATTCTGATTTGTATTTGGAAATAGAGAATTTGATATTTTATTTTGTAAGGAATTGTTTATTTCGCTTGGATTCAGAACTCACGAACTAAAAATCTCCCTCTTTTTTTAATATAATTTTTAATTTTTAGAGGTTTATGCACGCCAGATTAGTGAGAGCAAGTCGACGATTGTAGTCGTTGACAGCGACACAGCGCCAGTTGTCAAAAAGGCGATCGACACTTTGGACTACGAGGTGCACCTTTTGTTTGTTGGGGCAAATTTTGTGGAAGGTGCTATGGGTTATGAAATGATGTCTGCAGATCGAGATAATTCGGGTAAAAAAGTTAAGAAGAAGTATTATAAATATTTTAAATTTTTGGCATAAAGCGATGCCGGAGTTTTTGGAAATTGATCCAAGAGAGGAAGTTGTGGCGATTCCGTCCACGAGTGGCAGTACTGGAGTTCCGAAAGGTGTTCTCCATACTCATTTCTCAGCAGTGGCACAACTAACCATGTTTTCAAAAATGTAAGTAGAATTTAAACTCTGAAATTCCAAAACTTTTTGGCTACACAAAATTTAATTTTGAAATTAAAATTTACTTATTTTAAACTATTTAATTTTTATGTGCTTGTCTATTTAGTGATTACATGAAAGAAGAATCGCACACAATGGCCCTTATGACAAACTACGCAATCGGAAACTTTTTTCTCACGATGAATGCCTTGTACTTGGGAGCGACCGTTTACAACATCGGAAAATTCAGTTTCGAAAGCTATTTTGATCTCATTCTCCAGTACAAGGCACAAGATGATAAAATTCTTTAAGTGATTAATTTAAGACATATTTTTTTTTAGCCAGAACAGCTCATGTTTTATCCATTTGTTGCCGCTTGGTTTGCGAAGAGTCGCCAAATTTCAGAACTGGATTTGAGTTTCATTAAGAAGGTTTACATTGCTGCCTGGGTTTTGGATCCGACAACTGCCGACTTGCTGCACCAAAAGCTCCCTAATGCAAAAATTGTCCAGGTATAAAAACTTGCGTTAAATATTTAAATTGAAAATTAATTTCTTCCAGATGTATGGAATGACTGAAGTCGTTGCCATTTCCGCCTCCGACTTAATTGACGACCGCGAGGAAGCGGAAATAAAACCTCTGACAGTAATTGAAAATCAAGGTATGTATTTTATGTAACAAAACTTTTAAAATAATTGAGGAAAAACTTTTAGGCGAGCTATGTGTTTCATCTGGGCAGCTTTTACCCTTCATCAAGGCAAAAGTATGACATAAATTAATAATTAAACACCGTTTCCTAATATCATTTATTAGATCATTGATCTGAACAACGGAGAGGCGCTTCCGAAAGGTGAAAGGGGGGAAATTTTGATCTCAACACCCTCTATGATGAAAGGCTACTTGATCAATGGCGAGGAGCACGTAAAATTCCAATTATGAAAGAGAATATTGCATTAAAAAATCTTTAGAGGAAAGAAGGCGAGTGGCTGCAAACAGGGGACTTGGGATTTTTCGACGATGATGAAAATATTTACGTTCTCGAGAGGCTCAGTTTTATGTTTAAATATTTATCTCTTTTTGTAAGTTATAATTTAAAATTCATATCCAATTCTATATTTACAAAAATATTTAGGTATCTCCTAGTGAGATTGAATCGGTTTTGAGCGAGCACTCCGGAATTCAATCTGTCGGAGTGACGGGAGTTCCTGACCTAGAGGTCACGACCTTGGCAACGGCCTTTGTAGTTTTGAAACCAAGAACTCAACTAACAGAAGACGAAATTTGCGCTTTCGTGGCCGACAAGCTACCGGAATACAAGCACCTGCACGGCGGAGTCCGATTTGTTGAAAAACTACCAGTTAACAAAGGTGGAAAGTTAGATCGAGTCAAACTAAGGGATATGGCCCTGTCCGGGGAGTAATTAAATAATTTAGATTCAATTAAATTAGTAAATAATTATAATTTGCTGAAAAATTATTTTAATTGAAACGTTTACATTCATTTTGGTTTTGTCGAAGGAAGATTCACAAGGGCTTGCAGTTTCTTGTCTACTGACGATTTTTGACTTTTTACGATACCCATCATTGTTTGAAATGCTTTCACATCCTCGGGATCTGAAAGTTTTTCAATTTTTTAAGACCCAATTGTCTCTAACATGCAGAAAAAAATTAATGGTACTCACCATCATCGCTTTCGTCATCCTTTGTGGCTTCCGTACCCTCTTCGTCTTCGCTGCTTTCGTCTCCAGGATGCCTCAAGTAAATGTCAGCCAATCCATGAGATGCATCCAAAATCGAAACCATAGGTACTTGTGTGCCTTTACCTTTAGCCTTCATTGCCTCCTTTAGTTTCTCATCTTTCTTCGAGGCCTCGCTGGTCACTTTATCTTTGATTGCTTTGTTAAGATCAACTCTGTAGTCTCTGAAATAAAAAAATAATATGTTTTAACAAGTTTCATAAAAATCATTTTAAAATCCACTTCTCAAATTCAATGGCTGCTTCTTTGACTGCTGCCAGGAGATTGCCGATTCCTTCACCAGTTACAGCAGACACTCCAACACTTTTCAAATTTTGATAAAATTCGTCTAACGCGAGTGACATGCTTCTGGTGAGGGTTGAGATGTAAGAAGTTTCAGACTCAAGTGCATCCTGGAAGACTTCAAAATCTGACATCCATTCCACAGCAAACTGATGGTCCACAACATCGATCTGCACATACAAAGGATTATGTTTAAAAATATTCAAAGTTTAATAATGTCAATACCTTATTTAGTGCTACAATGAAAGGCAATTTGGTTTTGTACAGGATGGAACAGGCGTACAGCATGTTGGACATGAAGGTCACAGGATTTGAGCTTCGAACAGTGTCCATGACGTAAATTACTACTGTAGGAAAAGTTGAGGCCAAGGTTTCTGTGATAATGGTGCCGGACGCAGACCACGTGAAAACCTCAATCTGACCTAAGCACTCCAAATTGATCAAATCTGAATTTTTAAATTTTACTTTCTATATTTACCTGGAGTGTCAATGATTGCCAATTCAAACTGCTCCGATCTTTGGTCTAGCAGAGAGATGACTTGCTGGAATTTAGTCGAAAACAAATTGAGAGAGGTGACAATGCCACCGTTGGGACCCAACCCGTACTGCTTCATGACTTCTTTGTACTTCACTGCGTCCCTAATGTCTGCAAAAATTGCAAAGCCGCAAAAGGTAAAAATAAGTATATGTATTAAGAAAATTTTAGAAAAATTTTTAAATATATGTATCCTACATACCAATGTTGGCAGGGTAGGGAACTTCATGGCAGGCTGGATCCAGATTAATCACGTAGGCTGGTTTATTCAAAATGTTCAGATCCGAGGTCAATCTCTGCACCAAAGACGTCTTGCCTGACCCTGCCATGCCCAGGACGATCAAGCACACGGGCTGAGTTTTAATACTCGGCTCGACTTTCGTCGCATTGGCCGAGGCAGTCGCTGATTTTGAAGAAGACGGTCCCGCCGGTGTTGATTCGGACATATTTGTGAGAAATTCTATCAAAATTTGTATGGAATTGCTTCAATTGCTGCTTTGAGATCTTATTTTTACCGGCCACGCTTGTTTTTTGCTTGTTTGTTTACCCGTGTGTCAAAAAGTTCCCCTCCCACTTTTCTGCCAAATTTTCCCACGCCCCGCCCACCTCTGACGTTGAGAGGGGTTTGTCACTTAACAAACTTTTGGCAATTTTTCGTCGTTTATCTTAACTTTCTCTTGTTTACCATAATTTATCTTTGGAAGTTGACAATTCCGAATGAAATTTCACGCAAAAGTTAGGCCACTGCGAGTTGAGGTAAAGTTTCCAACGTCAAACTTTTGATTAGAAAACCAATTTAACCTTCGTCACATTCACAGGTGGGCGGATGACGAGGTTTTGGATGAGAGCTGAGGCGTTTTGTGCCTGAAGAACGTAGAACCTTCAACAAAAAATTGTCGTCATGATGTACAGCGAGTGGGCCTCCCTTTCATCAACCATCCAAAATGGATCAGAAGAAAACTACAGCGTTTTGGGGAAACTTCCCTCAGCCGTTGGCAAAGAAGTCGCCATATCTGTGGTCAAGAACCTTGTCTCTAATTTAGGGTTGACGTCGCAACCTCCAGAGCCCAGTTCTTTATCCACTGACAAAGAAGTGCAATGGTGCATGGAGGTAGATATTAATATTATATATATATTATAATTTTTTTTTTCATTTTATTAAAAATCCAACAGGTGATCTGCTATGGCCTAAGCTTGCCATTGTCAGAGCACGACACAATTAGAGACTGCGTCAACGTCTATTGCGAATGGCTGTCAGCAATGGAATCCGTGCCCAAGATATGCGTGCCAAAGCCGATATGTGACGACCCCAACTTGTACACCAGGAAAATCATACAGCATCTGCATAACCTCTTTGTTCCTCGCAAAGGGGAAGGTAAAAACTATAAAGCTTTTTTAACAACCTTCTTCAAAATAACTGTGTCCAGTAAAAGTGAACTGTGTATAAAAAATAATGATTGTCAATTAACAAATTTATTTTTATATTATTAAAATTGTATCCAACCAGGATTAAAATTTCTTTGTAAAAAGTCATAACCTTTAAATTTAAGACTGCAGCACTTGATTATCTCAATGAGCACTTTTAATAATAACAGATTTCTCTTTCACTCAAGAATGGCCCTTCCTTTACATGATGGAATACGGTAATTATGGTAATTTTGTGTGAAAATGTTTTTGCCGGTTTTTGCATGGTGGGCTAGGTTGGTTCGAGTTTAGTTATGGATTGAGATGCACAAAAATCTGGTTTAAACAATTTTGTTTTTGTAAATATTGGTATTATTTTTGCGGTTAACAAATTCTAAACACACTTTAAAATTTAGTTACTACTTTTTCTCTAACTCTGATCTTTGCTTCAAAATTGCAATAATTCATCAACAAACTTTAAAAATTTTAGGAGCAGACATCATAAATCGTCAAGCCGTCCTTTGCCACCGTGTTCTCCGAACTCTTCAAAACATGGCCCACAAATCAAGCCGAATAACCAGAGAAACATGGGAAGCACTTCTGCTGTTCCTACTTGCAATAAATGACGCTCTGTTGGGACCACCAACTCTCAAAGGTAATTCCACCAATTTATTTGTACTCTAGATTTTTATCAACATTTTCAGAGGACATCGGTGACCAGCTGTGTGAAAGAGTTCTGAGCGCTCTTTTTGAGGTCTGGCTCTTGGCTTGCTCAAAGTGCTTCCCACCACCGCCTCTGTGGAAAACTCTGCGGGAGTCTTGCATGAGGTGGAGACACCGAATTGCCCTTGTTGAACAGTGGAACAGAGTTTGTCTGGCTTTGACGGCAAGACTGCTCGAGTTTCTCTACGGGCCTACTTTCCCGGAGCTGAAAATAAGTATGTTTCTGAAGAAAGACTTGAAAAATTTTATTCATAAGTCTGTTTAGGTGAAGAGGACGCTCATTTGTGCCCCTTGAACATGTCCCGGGATTGCATTGCCCAGTCGTGGTTCCGCATGGTGCACACAATTGGGAACCCGGTTGAACTTTGTCAGCCGCAAGTTGTGAGCCAGACACCACCGTTTTTACAATATGCCATCTCGAGTACCAACGTTGTTGAGCCTTGTCATCACCCGTGCTTGACAATTTTGCCCACAATCTACTTAAAGGCCATCAAGGGCGTTGCCAGCCAAGTTGATGCCTTTCTAGGTATTTCTTGATTTAAAAAAAAAAAAATGTGCAGCTTTTCCTTATTTGTTTAATTATTTTGTTAATTTGTGAAAAAAGGCTGTTATTTTTATTCATTAATCCTTGGTTGACGTTCTTTTACCTCACACCTGCAACAACTGTGGGTTTCCTTACAAAAATGTGGTACGGGCATTGACCCTGGTGGTGGTTGGTGTGAGCAGTTCCGAAAAATGTTACATGTTGCAGGCATAGCGCAACCCTTGGAGACACCAGACCTGGAGGCAGAGAAAAAGGACACAAGTCGTGCCGGCTCCACTCCTTCAAACTCTTCTTCCCCCACCCCACCTCTCCAAAGAAGGCTCGCTAAAAGCTTTAGTGTGGCTCCTTCAGCAATGACTAAGGGTAGGGCTTTGACTTCGCATCGGATCTGTGTGAAAAGCTAATTTGTGTGGCTAGATTTTTTAAAGCGTAGAAATTAATAATAAAGCATATTCTCTTTTTCTGGGAATTCACAGAGATCCGATCGATTGAAGTTAGTGGGCTAAAATTCTGCTCTAACTCGCACAGCTTTGAGCTTGAAGTTTTCCTGGGGTGCTTTGGAATTTTATAACAAGCATAATTTTTAGTTTTTTTTTTTGTAAATAACAACGTGTTTCGTGCAACTTAACGTAACGGCATTGCTTTGCTTTTTCTCTTAACACATTGATTCTACCCACGCAGGAATTCCTAAAGCTGCTCTCATAGGACTTACCAGCAGTCGCTCTTCCACCGTCCACATTCCGACCACTCCGAATTCGGGCCCGCCGTCCACTTCTAGCATTTCGAGTGAGGCTGGACTTGTTTGATTATCCCAGTTAGTAATTAAAAAAATTTTCAAGGCCTAGGTAGTGGATCAGAGCCAAAACCTGCACTTGCGCCTGGCAGGTCAAGATGCAATAGCATTCTGCACACTTACGGAGAATGGCTCTTTGAAGCCGCTCACATAGGATACACAAGCTCCTATCATGTAAAAACCGGTGCCCGTAAGTTCAACTCTAATAATTTTCTGAAACATCTGAAAATAAAGTCCAGCAGAAAATGCTGAGGATCCCATTGAAGTAGAGGGTTTAGACATTGGTTTTAAATTATTTTATCCTCCTAAATAAATATTTTTATTAATATCAATTTATGTGGCTTTCTAGAGCCAGAGGGCAGTGTACAAAGACCAAGCTCCCTTCTCTTGGATAAAAGTGGTCTATCATTGCCTCCGAAGAACCCCGAGCAGTCAGATTTGCCTGTCAATCTGACCATCGACAGATTCGAGTCTGGCAAAGCAGAGGCCTATGGCGCCCTGTGCCGCATTTTCTGCTCGAAGAAGACTGGGGAAGAAATCCTTCCTGTTTACTTGGCTAGATTTTACTTGGCCTTAAAAGTCGGCTTGCACATCCCCAAGGACAAGATGTGCGGGGAAGTTCTGTCCAGCATTTTGCTCAACTCTGCTGATCTCTTTAGATGTGACCTGGACGGGGTTAATGTTTTGATTCCGTCTTTGATTTCCGCTCTGGAAGTGGTTCTTCCCGAAAGAGAAATTAAAATGAGGTAATTTAGTAATATTTGAAATAAAAATATACTAAATTTTGAGATTTGTATTTCTTCAGGTCAGCGTTAGTTTCAAGAACGGAACTGAGAAGAGCTTCGATACAACTGCTTCTTTCTCTGCTTTCATTGCCTCTGCATTATCAGGTCCTATTTCAACAAATCTTTAAATTATTTTAATTGAACTAATAATTTTTCAATTCAGAATCTTCCAATAAAAGAGCTGTGCCCATCAGCGGACAAAGGAATTGCAACCCACGTCACCTTTGCTCTTTTGAAACCAAGACTTATGAACGTCTTGATAAATGCGTTACAGGTGGAAACTGACTCCCTCAATTGCCAAATGCTCTTAGGTGAGATCTCGGATAGTTTTTTATACCTCTTATTATTAAATTTTGCCACAGGTGGGCTTATGCTGAGTGTGCAAGATTCAGCAACCGTCGAAGAGTCTGAGAAAGTGAATCAGCCAGATAGTGCAGCCGGCCCAGAATCGTCCTCTAACCTTTTGAGCTCAGGTACCTTTTAGCTTAATCATGGAGAGGAAAACTTTCCAAACTCCCATTGGGCACTGATAAACACATTTATTTTTCATAATTTGTTTTTATCACAATGGAAGTACGCACTTTCATTTCAGTTTTTATTCAATGTATTATATAAGCACACATTTCAATTATCATGATTTTCAACGCATCGAATAAAAAAATTTTGAAAATTTCATTTTTAATTCATTCTCACTGAGATGATAAAAGCTTTCCGAAATATTTTTAGAGCATAATTTTACAATCATTGTTTTATAGCGCTTTTTTAGTTTGTCAATAAACCAAAGTTTGTTCTGCTGGTAAAGCTAAATTTTGGGAAAACAAGATTTTGTTTAGCACTTGGGCCATTTAGCAGCTATTATTTGTGCTGAAATAGGTGCAGCTGCTGCTTCTGACAATTACAGCCTCGCCGACTTCCCGAATATATCATTCACAGACGTGTTAGCAGACAGTGCTGTCGGCGGCGTCAAATTCTGCTTTGACTACCCAAAAGGATTAATCAGAAGTAACTTTCTAAGTAGTTTTTGACATACTAGCTCTATTTAGCTCCTTTCCTTGCCCCTAATCTAAATTGAAAACGCAGAGCTTTTTAATAAATTGCAGATTTGTTGGCTGTGGTTGGATAATAGTGCTGCTGACAAATTAAAACTATGCTAATGCTGCTCTGGTATAAAATCGCTGGTTGTGGAGTGTGTATGATAAAAATAGGTCTTGTGGTGTTGGGCTCTTATTAATGTGGACAAACCTGTTATTGGTGTATTTAAACTTTCTTACTTCATAGTTGACTAGTCAAGTTCTTATAAAAAATTTAAATTTTTAGGATTCTTATTCTTTGGAAATTTTGTGAATGCATACATGGGCAGAGCGCACTTTGCGCTCTGCGATCTGCGCTCGCGCTCTGCGCTCATGAGCGCGAGCGCAGAGCGCGATCGCACGATTTTCAAAATCGTGAGCGCGAGCGCAGAGCGCGAGCGCATTGGTCGCTGAGCGCAGCGCTCAATTGCGCTCATTTTGCGCTCAAACCAAAAGTAAAAATTCCCGAATTTGATCAAAAATTGTAATGAAAAACAGTGTTTTTATCGTTTTTATACCAAAAACTTCAAAACTGATCCCAATTTTGGTGATTTAACATCAACTTTATCTTTTCCAATTGCCGATGTATTTTTTGTTATATTAAAAAATTGTCTAAAAAGTCGCACTTTTTCTTCGGATAAAAATATTTTTGAGCGCAACGCGTGAGCGCAAGACTTTAAAAAAATTTGAGCGCGAGCGCAGAGCGCGAGCGCAACATTTTCAAAATCTTGATCGCGAGCGCAGAGCGCGAGCGCACTGTTGCCAGTGATCGCGAGCGCGAGCGCGAGCGCAAAATTGTTGAGCGCACCCATGTATGTGTGAATGGAATTCACTTTGGGAATAATTTTTTGGTGTGGTTTGCACTGTTTTCCATAAGATCAATATTGAAATACCTTTTGATTTTTGTTCAACTGTTTAGGTGTCGGCCTCACATTTTTTTCCTTTTGTCCAATCTAGGATCTTTGCTGTACACTGTGCTGTGCTGTTTTTCTCAATTTTTATATTGCATTTTGAACCTCCCCACTATAAGATTTTAACCATCTTTCAGACTCCGCTCACGCTCTGTTTGTGAGGGCTACATATTTAGTCTGTCATAGACTAATTTCGTCCTGGAAACAAGATCTGAACGTCTCGTTGGCGGCGCTTGAACTGTTGTCCGGCTTGGCAAGGACAAAAATAAAAGAAACAGGTGGGTCCAGTTGAAAATTTTATTTAAAAACAAAATCTAAAGAAACCTAAAAAGAAACTAAAAATTTGAATTATGCAATGAATTTTTAGCAAAATTGAAGCAGAGCATGCCACTTCGATTCTTACGTGAACTACTTGATCCTGATTGATGTTGATAAATTTGTAATAATAATTTTCTCAAATCATCTTGCAGATGCACTCGAGTGCAAAAGGGCCGTCAAGTGGTTATGTGACTACATCTCATATCAGTGTTCAAGGCCCCCACCGAGCCACTCAAAAGACCTGCACTCTAGCATTGTGGCGGCGTTCCACTGCCTCTCCACCTGGCTGGTGCACCACCCTGATCTTCTCAAGGAAAAGGAAAATGTTATGACTGTGATGGAGGTGGTCGAACTTGGAATATCTGGATCTAAATCTCAAGTAATTTATTCAAATGATTCTGGACAAGTCATGATAATTTTTACTCTAGGGCAAACCAGGAGAGCCACTGAAAATTAAGGAAGATAAAGAACTTAAGCCTGTTTCTATGAGAGTGAGAGATGCTGCTGATTCTCTTTTGACTATTGTGATGGAACAGGTTTGTAAAAAAAAAATTAAAAATTAAAAATCATTATAATTTAATACTTTTAGGTCGGAAATGTGCAAAATCCTTGCAGTCCAGCCACCATGTCATCAATGCTAGACGAGGTTTCGTTGATTAAATATTGTAAAGGGGAAGATGTGAAGAAGGAAAAGGCTATTGAATGGTTTAGGTATTTTATTGTTGACAATCACATTTTGCTGGCACTTTTGGAAGAGCCTCTTGGAAACGATCCAGGTAATGTTAAGTCACTTAAGACCAATTGCAATCAATTATTTATTTACTCCATACTCCATTTTAGACCCAGTTCCAACCATCACTGCCATTGTAAGGAATTCATTTGGTCGTTACTTGTGGCATTTTGAGTTGAGAGACCTTCCCAGAAGCAAGGCCGGGCTCAAGGCCGAGGAAAAAGATCCTGGAAGGCCCTTGCCAGGCAGAGAAAAGCCAAGGAGGCCAAAGAAAAATATCAAATTTTATCCTGACGCTGCAGAGCGTATTCCAAAATGCAAAATGTAAATTAAAAGTTTAAAATGGTAACAGGTTGAAAATTGACTGTTCAATTTTTCAGGGACTCCTCCATTCCATCAATGGACTCGTGCTACAGTAGTGACGAAGACATGGCTAGTCATAAGTTTCTAGGAAAATTAGTCGATGAGGCTCATGTGAGGGAGCAGGCCACATCTAAAAAGGAGAAAAGCCAACCGAGACACCCAAATTACGAGTGCAAACCACCGCCTCGTAAAACTGAAATCCAAACTTCACGCCTGTTTCTTTCAAGTTTGGGTTTAATCAATCTGGACGGGGTGGAGGTAGTTTCAGAAATTAATTTCCATTGTTGTAGAAATTAATGAGTGAAATATTGTGCAGGGCATCTCTGAACACCCTCAGTTGACAGTGATTGACAGCAAAATGAGTGGTTTCGCAGCCGACCTTGAGTTGCTCGATTTTATGTCTCCACGCACATGGGACACTGTGCACTTATTTTACGTCCGCTCAAAGCAAACTACTGCAGAACAGATTTGCAATAATGTAGTAAGTAGTAATGATTTTTTGTGTCACTTCAAAAAAGACTAATAAAAAAAATTGTAGTTGATAAAAGACGGCGTCGATCCACGCTTTTTGCTCTTCCTCAATACTCTTGGCTGGCCTGTTGATGTTTACAAACACCCTGGCTGGACTGGGCACGTTGCCACCAGTTGGAAATTGCTCGAGAGACCCAAAGATTGTAATGTCCTTGTGTTTATTGTAATCCAACGCCTACTCATGTTTTATTGCAGTGCCCACCGAAGACAAAAACCACGGAGGCAGTTTGTTTAATGGTGACCACCAAGTGATATATTGGGCAGACGTCGGCTCGGAATTGGCTTTTGTTGTGCCAACCTTGAAGTCAAGACATCTAACAGAAACCTCAGCAATACACGCTAATCCGGATTTAGGTAAAATTTAAGTTTTAATTTGTCACAAATTCCAAAAAATAAATCTTCAGCCATTCCTGGTCGTCCCTTGTCAGCTCAAGGAATGTCGACAGACAAACCATCCAGAACATTGTCTTTAGATTTGGAGAAGGGACCTCCGTCCACCATTAGTGGAACCAGTCTAACTGGTGGCAAGGATTCTCCATCGGCCGTTCGACGGAGGAGAGCAGCCATGCAGGACACCAAAGTGGTCGTTTTGTGGGTTGAAAACTTTGAGGACACTTTTAAACCTCCCATTGGTAAACATTTCCTTTCCTATAAGAATGTTAACTAGAAAAATATAAATATTCAGCCGACCTCTTATCTGTGACAAGCACTGGACTTGAATCTGGTCCCCTTTTGAGGGACAGACAGGACGTTTTTGTGATTTACTTGCACCCTCTCGAGAGTGATCTTGTAAGGGTCAAACTTCAGGGACCAGCCGGAAGGTAAAATTTTTATAAGGAAAAAAAATAATCTGATTTTTTTTCTAATTTGAAGCAAGTCGCTTTCTTTTGCAATTCCGCTTGTGGATGGGATGGTTGCCAGTCGCAAGGTGATCGGTAACCTGGTGCGGCAAACAGCGCTCAACATCTGCCGCCGACGCAGACTGGAAAATGATGCTCAGCACGCGCCCCATGTGCGGCGCAGACTCAAGATCCAAGACTTCACTCAGCGTTATAAATGCGAGATGACCGTACCTGAGCTTTGTCTGCACTTGTTTAACAAGATTAATCCAAATTTGGTGTAAAAGATTTATTTATTATTATTCATTTTTTTTTTTCAATAATTATTAAGTCTGTTATACACTTTGTCGCAATTCAAAGTATTATATCTATTTTACTATTATTACGGCACCACCTGTTAAAAGTGATTTGCTACTCAAAAGTGCAACGTTTTATTTTGTTACGTGGAATTATTTTGCATAAAAAATTGTTAAGTAAAAAACTGATTATCACAGTATGGTGTAATTTTATGAAATCATGCAGTAATAAATAAACTTCTTAAGGACTTTGTTTATTGGTTTAAGTCTGACATTGGAGAAAATTTTTCCAGTTAGGTGGAAAGTTACACCACCTGAACCATTCTCCATAACGTTCTTTGGAGAAGATGTAACTTGCTGAAAAAAGATTAATGAAGTCAAGCACAATAAATATCAGCTTCAGCACTTTTCCAACTGGGCCTTGCTCATTAGCCGTGATATAATAATTACATAAGCAAAGGAGCCCTTAGACTGCAATAAGCCAGACCGGGTATAGCCTTCGTCTTGGTTGTGTACGCTGCGTCGGAGGCGCGCAAACTCGGCTCGGGCACTTTTGTTCGGCGCTCTCCTTGTGGACTGGAGTAGTCAGCTTTTCGCACACCCGCCGCCCAACTCGCTCACAGCAGAGCCGCTTTCCGTCTCTTCCCTTGCCGCAAAATCTTTGTTTGCCATACAACAAGTGGCTCTCGTACACACTCGCGGTCACTACATCCATTCGCCGTCGAATTATTTCGTACTACAGCGAGGTCGTTGCTTTACTGGAAAGCCACCGCGTCTCCCCGCAACAGTATTAAGAGAACGAAAGATTTAAGTCTGAAAAGTTTTCATCTACATAAAGGTAAAGCATAATTTAATTATACTTAATGTTATTTTTTATACATATAAATGATATAAATTAGGCAAACAAGAATCAAAGAGCCTTAAAGTTTGCACGATTTTTCAAGCAGCAAAAGAGAAACAGGTTCACACGAGTAACGCGTCTCGCGAAATTTGAAGCCGCCTCCTCTCTCACTATTTTAAGGGACTGAAAAAATTTGCAAACACCAAGTAAGGAAGCTGATTAAAGTACCAGCGACTTTGCGTATTTCTCTCTCTATACATTTGGTAAGATTGATTGCAACTAAATATATTGGATGGCGTTTTTCATGTTTGGACACTCGGAGAACCGCGCATTTGATGCTTTTATAGCTTGGAATGACGCCCAAATTCCCAAATATTAATATCACATTCAAAATTATAAAAAGATGGAGTTGTGCCAATTTAATCAAATGATTATTCTGAGAATACTGAAAGTTTTTAAACAACTTAATTTCAACTCTCATTGTCAGTAAAGAAACTTGGATTGTAAAATTTTAGAAAAACCAAATTAAAAATTATAAAATGCAATGGGAAAAAAATTCATAGCTTGCTTGCTTTTCAAATTTGTCGTGCAGTCGTGACAAATTAGCCTTCAACGCCCAAACAAATAAATAGACATTAATACTTTTACAACTTGTATGTTATAAAAGATGCCGTACTATGGCATATATAGAAAATACTATCCGATTTTTTTTTGCAAGATGCGATAATCGGACGTGCAGTAACCCTTTTTTCTGCAGCCATATAAAATAAACCTCTCCCTAGATAATTCCAAGGCCGTCCTCTGCAAGTCTGCAGCTCTTGTCTATTTTTTTCCTTGGCTCCGCTCCGAGGATAGGCGAAAGCTTAAAGAACCGGAGACACTTTTCATTAATTAACTCTCTGGCGTTAACGAAAATGGCCCGAGACGGAAATGGCAAATGGCACTTGAGTGTTTGGAATATTATTTTTCAAATGCATGTGTACGTATTTTGTTGACAGGGTATATTCATTAGGGCTCTTTGCACTGACACTTAACTGTATGTTAATTTAATTGCCCTTTGAAAACACTTTTCAATGACCGATTCGTGATGTGCCGCATAATAAATAAATTTCACTCACACACGCGAGAATGGCCTGGATGATTATTTTTTTAAACAGAATCGCGCGCACAAGTGCAATAACCGCAGTAAAATTTGGGTTAAGTACTTTTGTCATATTTCTTTCTTCAAAGTTTTGGCGAGGCAACAAAAAGTATAATTTTTCGTTTTGGCCGCCACTCCAATTATCATGCACGGGTATTTGCCCACGGAGCATGTCGCCGGCGGTATTCACATGGGTGTTCGTTTGGACCAAATTCAAGGTTGCCTAGAAATTTTACTCCGTACATGCTTTTTGTGGAATTGGGAAGGCTTTTCTCGCTAATTATATAGCATCCTTGCAAATTTCCTTGACATTCATGTAAAAAAAGATAAAAAATCCCAAATTTTGACATTTCTGCCCCGGAAATATCATTTGGAAAAATAAATAATAATAATAATTTACTGTGAATTAAGAATAACTCTTATTTTTTCAACAATTTTTGTCTGCTTGAAGCTTTTAATAGTAAATAATGATAATTTCATGCTAAAAATAATACAGGTAAACATGGAAATTCAGTGTTCATAAAAATACTTAAAATGGTAAAATACTAAAAAAATCTATTTTCTTTCAAAATTCTATGAAAGTTGTTTTAGTTTCAAAGATATCTAATCAGAATGACAAAATTCTAAAAGATCCAAAGTCAGAATGAATTTAGGAGCAATTAAAATGGCATTTTACTAGTCTAGCAAAAATTCCGTCTGGCAGTTTTTTGCGCATGCAGATCATTTTACAAAAAATTCATAAGTAATTTTGCTCATTTCGGATGATGTCATCCTGTAGCGTGAAAAAGTTGAAGAAATATTAAAATTTTCTTCAAAGGATTTGTGTATGAAAAATGAATTGAATTTAAAAATAAAAGATAAATAAGTTAAATATTCAAATGAAAAACAGATTTTCCAGATCTTGCTTTTTATAATTTGATGAGAAGCGGCTAGAATATGTGATGGGGATGAGAAAGTTTATGAAGTTTATGGAGATGAGTTTGAAAGCCGCTTTTCACTCGCAGAAAATCAAATGAAGCCAAGTTCTAATAAATTTCCTACCTTATTTGTTTACTCTGTTGTGTTTTCGAAAGCACAGCAATAGGCAAACACACATTACGCCGCTGCGATATTTACATGCATAATTATACGCCAGCTTGCCTTCAACAACTCGGCGGTGTAATATAAAATACGCATATGGGGAGAGAAAAGAGCGATGCAAATTTTGCATCGATTTTGTAATCAGCCAAGAAATAATGGACGCAGAATGCACCGCCACGCAATTTGAGACCCTCGTCGTTGGTAATTGGGCCTTAAGCGAAAAATATTTTGAAGATAGGCATAGGTCGGTCAAAATGTCTGGACGACGGCCAAAAAAGCAGCTGCTCGTATTTTGTTGTGTGATGTTCTCCGCCGCAGATAATTAACTCACGCGCGGCCATAGGATTATTCACGTGAGCAGAAAAACCCTCGGCGACAGTCTATCATAGAGAATAAATTGCAATTCAACCTGTGGGGAAATTGGAAATGATCATCATCAAAACTTTCCCTTGTTAATATAAATTTCTTCATAATAATTTTTCAATTGTATTGAAATGCATGAAATCAAGAATTTAAATAATAAAATAAATAAATAATTGTTAAGAATAAATTCATTAAAAAATTTAAAAAAGAGAGACAAGATTATTTTAGCTAATTAATATGATTAGGTATACTATTTAGATTAATAAATGAATGCAAAAGTTAAAAAATTGATAATGGATTATTTTGGTGATTCTAGAAAATTTAAGTTAAGTAAGAATGCTTAAGTTTTTAAACATTCACATTCCGTTTATAATTAGTAATGATCATGAATTTTTCTTCGTATATCAAATTTTATTATAATTATGTTTTTGATCTCTCATGTGTTCGTGTCGCGTTTCTTTCTCCTTTCTTTGATAAGAAAAATAATAGTGCACTCTCGCAGGCTTAGATTTCAAAGTAGGTCAAAAGTCAGAATAGATTATGTGGCGGAGATAGACAACCCTTCGGACTAATTATTTATGCTAAACCGTTGCCCTGCTTTGACAAATCAAATTTTAATCCATACCAATAAACTGCGCATTAGACAAACATCGCATCGGCCCATTAACAGCGTTGTTTATTGATCAAAGATAGGGATGTTAAAATTCAAAGAGGAAATCACCATGGCGAATTTCGATAACAATCAAACTAATTTCAAGTTTATAAAATTGCATAACCCCTTGCTTCTGTGATTCCATACTAATGAGAGTAGCGGCCTATTGTAGTGACAAGAATCGGTAAAGGTTACAGGGCAATTGTTGTTGAAATGTCGTTTGCATCGATCGGAAACGGCAATTTAAAATAATACACAGTGATTTTCTAATGAAGTATGTCCTTTGCAGGAATGCCAATAAGTGCATGTATTGTGCAATAATTTATATTTATGCAAAGCATTAATAAAGTGGCTGCGTAGAAATTAAATAAGGATAAAGTCCTACAGCAAAATGGTAAAAATATAGAATATAAAATTTTAATTTCTAGGAAAATGTTTAAATTACATTAATTTTAGTAATTTCATTTCCTTTAATTAATGAAATAAAAAATTGAATATTTTATTTGTTCTGTTATATAAATTTTTTTGTTAATTTGTTACTGTGCGTGCTTTGTTGAAATTTTTTGTAGATTTATGTCATGTTTGCGTTTTTAAGTGACATTCAAGCTTCTGTTTTAATTATTTATTTTTGTTCAAAAGTTGAGGTATTTCATTAATGTTTTATTTCATAAATAATTTAAATTTCTAGAATGAGCACCTAAAAAGTAGAATTAAAATCGTAATCAACTTCACTATTCCTTATTCTCAGTTTATACTGATAAGTGTTATAAGAATTGTGAGTGGAAAGGTGAATAATTACAAATTTATATAATTTTTAAAATAAAATCCTTTTCTCAACTATAAACAATGTTTAGTTGAGAAAAATGAAAAACACTTTACTAAATTGATACAAACACATGTAAATTAATATACACACTCACAAAAATATTAAAAATATGAATGCAATTTAACTTTTGAAAAAGAATTTTTAATAGATTCTATTTGTTAGCTGCAGTTGTCGAGATTGCATTTTCGCAGCTTATTGGAGTGTAAGAATCTTGTTTGATTTGCGGTAGCCTAGCAATTTTCGTGGCGAGTTTTATCAGTGTGGGCTGATCAGTGTGCATATAACACGCAGCAGCCTGGCGAAAGTAGCACTGTGGTGTCTCTCACGCAATCGTCGAACATGTGTGTTTTCGCAACCAAATCGATACACCCCCGGCAATAACACATTGTGTGCATACACACAAATTTTCACGCAAAAATAGTCTCGCGGCGGCATTAATTGCGTCAAAGTGAATGAGGGATGTTTATTGTTTTCGTATATTGGGGTGATGCTCTCTCAGTTTTATATTTGCACCACCCCCGTTGTGTGACACGCGGGGTATTTATCAGCCGGACACAATCCATACATTTCAGGCCATTTGAAAAAAAGCGAGAATGAATGGGACAGAGTTGGAGCGGCAAAAATAGGGCCTCGGCAGAGAGTATGCGTAATCACGAGGCCGGCCTCCTGACAAAGCCAGCTGCACCTTAGACGTAAAATTAAAAAGGGGCGCCAACATTTGCTCAAAAACTAGAAGGTCTCGAAAGCGATTGCAAATATGTTCCACAAAATGGAACATCGAAGAAATTGGAACATTTGAAGAAATAAATGGCGGAAACTAAAATATTCAATAAGCATTCATTTGTAAAAAATCTAACATTTATTTTGTATAAATTTTAATTAAAAACAACTTCATCATGAAACTTTTCAACTAAAAGGTGTGTAGAAACTGGGATTTAAACTTTTCTTCAACTTCAATATACGTCAGAATATTTAAATTTTATAAAATAAAATTTATTTAAACTTTTCTATTGGTCTCTTTTCAATACATTGTAGCATCACTAACTGTAATTTTATCATCTTTTTATTTAAAAAATCATTCTTTTAACGATTTAAAAACCAAATGAAAATGAAATGCTATGATAAAAAAAAGGAATCATCATTCCAGTTTCAAGCATAAATGTTTTTGAACACTCCAGAAACTCTATCTTTGGACTTCGGACATTCCAGATTCGAACAAAAAGTGGCGACCCAATTTGAATATAGTTTTGTTAAATTATTTATGGCTCTCGGGCGCGCAAGTGAATGAGTGACAGCCGTTTTTCTTTAGACTCATCCCCTCACGGACTCGCTGCGAGCCCACACCGCACTCTCTCTGTTGACGACAAAAACACCGACCGTCACTTTTGTGAAACAATGAAAGAGCCATCCAAAAAGAACTCGCGAAAAGAAAAATAATATTTATTTTCTGTCATTGACCGCTCGGGCAACTCGCACGACTCGTCGGCCATGCGGGTTGCATACTTGTGCATTCTGCAGGCGCTGAAATCATCTCTGCTCCTTCGACCGTGACCGGATACGGCGGCTGCTTTCGGCGTTTGTTTACGGGTCACGTTCTTGAACAGCTTAAATCAATCACCTCGGCGCCTTTTTATGAATCATAATGTGTGCGCGCTTTACTGAGGCAGCGGTGAGCTGGGGCGCATTATTGTCCGGCGCATTATTGAAGGTGATCGAAGGTGACTCACTGCAGGCACTTCTTCTTGCTCGCTTCGTCAATTGTTGTGTTCCAAAGTTTTTAACTTCTCTGATTCATTTTTATGATTACACTGATGCAAAGAACATGTTTAAAAAAGTTACATTTTAAACTCAAAAATTTTTAGTTGAATCAGTTTGATGTACAGTCGTCAATACGCAAAAAATAAGTCACAAATAATCTTTTTTAGCAATTATTTAATCCTTTAGAAGTAAGGTATATATCAGGTTATGCTAATTTGTATAATTTCTGATATTATGACAGCACTGATTTTCAAGAAAGACAAAGATCATCCAATCAAGTTTGTACTCTGAAAAAAAAAAAATTTTTGTTAATTGAAGTGTATATAATGACATTTATATTCTGAAGAAATAACAATGGTAGAAAATTAAAAATATTAAAAATAGTATAAATTTTGTAAAAAAAAGTCTCGAAAAGTATATTTTCGTGAAAAAGTAAAATGTCATTGATATATGTAGAATCATGAATTGGATTAACACAGTTTTATAAAGAAACATCGCCAGAATTTTTATTAATATTATTATTATTATTATTATAGAGCGAATTAAAAAAAATACTTCCTTTTTCATAAATGTCATAGCTATAAGTTGAAGTAACTGGAAATTATCGATTGCGTTTGCAAAACGTTGGGGAAATCAACTCTTACAATGATCATATTTAAGATTTTGGATATACAGTTGATAATTTTTGGCCACAACTTTCTGTTATCAAAATCAGTCAATCTGAAATCGGTGAATTTAGATTCTTCCAGGTAATACTCATACATTGCAAAATTAATTTAATATTCTGATACAAACATTGCAGACTTGCAAAAATTATTTTTTATTTACTGAAAGTGAGTTTTCATATTTAAAATTAATATAATTTATTTACAACAAACAAGCCGTTTTCAAATTCCTGCCTTGATATAATATGAAAAATAGTGCCAAGTTAAAAAAGGCAATAAAGAACAATCTGGTTCAAATTTATTAACTGCACAAACGATTTGGAATAATTTTCTAGAGCGAATGAAAGTAAAATAGGTGATTCGAGGTCATTAATATATATATATATTTTTTTTTAAATTTCACCTATTTAAAAAATAAAATACAAAAAGTTAACCTATTCCAAAATATTCATTGTATTTTTTAATTCTTAATTTTTTTTACAAAAAGCACACTTGAACTTCCTCATGTAATTCGGGTGACATGGCAATTTCGCAATTCCTAAATTAAAAAAAAAAAAAATACCAAAAAGCAGAATGCAAATAATTTAGAGCACACAAAACTGTGAATGAAAAAAATGTGCACAATTTGCACAATCTTACCAACCTTTTACTAGAATTTTTATGGATATGATTTGATCTATAATAAAAAATCTCCCACCGTTGACATTGGATTCAACCACAATTTCCCAGGTACACGTCCATATAATATCTGCGTGCCAACCAACTCCTATAGGAAATCTCTCCAACACGAACATACATATTTTCAATAGGGAAGTCATTTGAATGAGAAATTACAAGCACAAAGGGTACACACACTATTGCTGGTTGTGAGGGAGGAGGGAGAGCAATGCACCCTTTCATTATGGGCCTCATAACACGGGGGTAGTTCCGTGTGCGAAGCTTTTTATCAGTTTGTGTGAGTGGAAATCAGCCGAGGTCTCTGTTAGTTGTGTGCGAGGGCGATCGTAAATTTATTCCCACACACTTGTGTTTTTCTCTCTCGGCGGCCGCAGAACATTTTGTAAGCGGTGCGCGCTCGATTGACCTCAATCGCGGCAACCGCGCGAGACTTGATTCCGCACCACCGTTTTTCGCTCTCTGCAAATATTTGTCTGGCTCCAGATTATACAGAGAAAAGAATCGAGTCCCTCTCTTGGTCTCGCGCTCCTGCTTGCGTGCTACTTTAAATTTGAACAGACTTTTCTTTGAAAATTTTTGCTCTTCTTTTATATCTGAGCATCAGCAGTGCAAATTCATTCACTCAAAATGTGCAAATCCATCTGAATATCCTAAAAAACAAAATTTTTAGTTAAATTTAATTAAAAAAATCAAGCATAACAACAAATTGTTTCACCTTCAACCTAAAGTTCAATTAATAATACTAAATATAATTATTCTTGGTAACTCTTTCAAGCTTTTGTTATAAAATACGCAGCAAAAATTTATGTAAAAAAATGCTTTGAATTAATTTAGATAGGATCTTCTGGCAAGATTATAAGTCTGGTTAACTCTTTTATTAAATTAAAAAGCATAAAGCATAATTCGCTTTCAGAAACTCACTCAATGTTTGATACAAAATGCCATAGCTTAAATACAGCTGTGGAAATTATGACTGTAGCGTGAATTTTATGTTATTTACGCCAAAATTGTATATAGAGAGAGAGACGAGGAAAATCTATTTGCAAACAGAAGCTGACTTTATACGTGTTGTGAGTAGCTGCTGCTTGATAACGAATAAGTAAGGCTCTTGAAGCGACCGCTATAAATCTTCCTTGCGGAGAGCAAAATTGCTCTCCGTGTAAAGTGTGTTTCTGTGTATTATTTGGCAGGGGCTGTGTTTTTGTGTGTGCCTCGTTTGGGGCAAATAGGCGGCAGTTGATGGCAAAATCTCATTCCAGAATAATGCAGCGTGCGGCCTCAAGAAGTGCTGCCAGCCCAAAGCCGGAGAGCCCAGAGACCAGCCGACCCATCAACATTGAAAAGGAGTTGCAAAGTAAGAAGCTGCGAAAAAATTGTCCATGCGAATTTACCCCCGGGATTTAAAAAAAAACTTTATAATTAATTGAAAGAATCCGCTCTGAGTTAAAATATTGAATTTTAGGTAAATTACTTGAGAACAATTAAAAGTAAATTAAGTTTCATAATTATTTATTAAACAAATCTGTGTTAATTTTTATTTTAACATATAAATAAACCTAGCTTATTTTGTGTGTTATTCTGAGAAGGTACAAACTTACTGTTATTTAAAAAGTTTTGAAACTTTTACATGTTAACAAATATCAATAATTTCAATGAAAACTTATTTTTATGATTAAATTTCAAATTTCATAAAAATAAAAAAATAAATAAAGTTTCCATCTCATCGAAATTTTTACTTTCAGAATTGCGAACTGCGTTTGGTTTGTTAGACCGTGACAGAGATGGAAGGGTAACTGCAGGAGAACTGCAGCATATGTTGACAAATTTAGGAATCAACGTCAATTCAGAATTCCTCACCGAACTCCTTGCTCAGGCAAGTGAATCTGGTAAGTCAAAATATTCAACTAAATTTAAATTATCGAGGAAAACCATTTATTTGGAAGTTTCAAAAATTCAGACGCATTTCTGGCAAAATGGTAAATAATTTAAGACGATTTTAGGAGCACGAAGAATGTGGTACTTACAATTAGATGGATTTTTCTTGAATTTGACGCTTTTAGATATTTTTTTCTTTTAAAATTCTCTGAATCATAATTCATGATGGATTTCAACCATGCAGATTTTTCATAATTCATGCAGATTTTTATCAAAATAAGACTAAGTAACAAAATAGTCTCTGATTCCCACACCTATATGTATTTAATTATATCTTTTTAACACAAATTATTTTAAATCGCTTATTGACTTTTATGTTCACAAAATAACTAGGTGCAAGTTTGGTCAACGAGGCCGAGTTTTTGCAATGGGTTACGGCCATTGAGGCCGTGACCGCCGCCGCCGCCGGCACTTCCGATGCCCCCGAGAGCCTGGCAAGCAGACTGAATACCGTGTCCCTTGATGAAGAGGACGCGAGTCAAGACCTGATCGCGGCCTTCAGGGTCTTCGACAAGGACTCCAATGGGTTTATCACAAAGGTATATACATCATTATATTTATATAATTAATACAAAAATCTTGATATATTTTGTAATATGTGGACAAATTAAAAACAACAACAATAATAATATAATATTTTTAATTCAGGACGAGCTAAGGTCAGCAATGGAAATTATTGGTGAGCCGGTGACCGAAACTGAGCTGAATGAAATGCTTAGCATTGCAGACATTGACAGGGATGGAAGAATTAATTATGAAGGTGAAAGATTTTCAATTGTTTTAAAATTTTTGATTATTTATTTTGGTTTTCAAATTCCAGAGTTTGCGAAATTGCTGTCGTAAACGCAAGAGGCTGACTTAAAATGGGTTTAAAATTATTTTACAAAAAAATTCAAGTTGCGAATTCTATTCCTGATGCTGTGAGAACAAATTAAAATATACATATATACTGTTTTTTTGTTATAAGTATTAACACATAGGAGATTGAAATAAGATATGCGATCGTTTGTAAAAAAGAAATGTTTGCGCTTACCACTTTCTTATTTTTATAGTTCTCCTATTTCTTTTAAAAATGCCACATTTTAAGAAAAAATAATAATTTGTTTTTGAATTTGAATAATCTAATTCAAACTTTCTATATTTTTCTGTGTTTATGCTGAGATTAGTCTAGCATGGTAAATTTTAAAAATGTGTAAAAAAATTATATAATAAATTATTAAAAAGATATGAAAAAGGTTATTATGCTAAATTATGTTGTATTTTATTCATATTCAGCAGTTCCTGGAATAATCAAAAATATTGACTAAGTTAAGTAGGTGTCATTAATTTGAAGCAAAACTATTAATTAAAAATGATTAAAACTTTTCCCCTGTAGGATGCATGACAATGTCGTGAATCTAGAAATCATGATGAAAAATAAGAAAATTTATTACAAAATTGTATAATCTTCCTTATTGTTAAATTACCTGCACATGAGGTGGAGCAGAAACGGCAAAAATAATGGCATCAGCAACATCTTTAGCTTTCAAATTCGGTTCGTTAGATAGACCTTTTTGCGCATCCTCGGGAAATCCAGAAGCACTGAAAATTTCAGTTTCAACCAATCCAGGACAAATGCACTGTTCAGATTATATTAATAAAAAAAATGAGAAGAGAAAAAAAAAACAATTTCACCGTGACTCTCATTTTAGTTTTCATGTCTCTCATCTCCCTCCTCAGAATCTCAGTAAAAACTTTGACGCTGTGCTTGCTTGCAGCGTAAGGTCCAGTACCGGAGAAGTCGGGAATGTAAGTGCCAGCAACACTAATTTTAAGACATTACAAATTTGAAAATTATTTGAAAAATGACGAGTATCGAGCACCTGCTAACGTGCACAATGTGGCCGTCGTCTACACCTCTTGATTTCATATCTTTCAGAGCTTCGCTGGTGAAATAACAAAGCCCAAACACGTTTGTTTCAAAAATCTTTTTCATGACAGAGGCATCCAGCTCTAGCAAAGTAAAATAAAATTTAAAATCAATATAAATTTTACATTTAATAAAGCAAATCTCTCGTTGAAAATAAGCGTACAAAGAAAAATAAACAAAGTTGGAAAATTATTGGTTAATTTTTTATATATATACCAGATAAGAGCGTGAGAGGAGCAAGTCCAGCGTTGTTGACAAGAACGTCGACCCCGCCTAAAGTGTCTCTGGTCCATTTGATAACTCTTTTCACGTCTTCCTCCAAACTGACGTCACCTTGGATAGCGTGTAATTCGCCTTTCACTTTTTCCTTTTTAAGCTCATCTGCCAAATTCTATATTTAAAAATAAACACACAACACACGTAAATACGAAGATTATAATTATTGTTAAAGAACTTGTGTCAAGGGGCAAAAGATTTTTTACTTATTGTTAGAGTCAGGCTAAGACAAAGTCTTGTCGCCCTATCCCTTTTTTGTGGTGCAGAATACTTTTCGATCGTTATCTTTAAATAGGTTTAATTAAACATTTATTTTTTTTAACAAATTTCTCAACAAGGTTTGTCATGTTTTATAAAAAAAAAGATTGAAATGGTTAAAGTTTGTTTTAACTAAACTATTTTCAATGAGATAAACCGCTTAATTGTGCGGATGTAGTTTTATACTGGTTTATAAATAAAAATCGTAAAAATCATTTGCAAATAGTTATGACTTTAAAATAGTTATCTATATATGTATCTTTATTTTTTTCTAGTGTCTCAAATATTAAGTAAATTTATTTTACTGTGTTACCTGAACGCGTTCTGCCCTTCTAGCGACGCCGACCACCTTCATCCCTCCCTCAGCTAGAGCGCGAGCGGTGGCAGCCCCAATGCCAGCGCTCGCCCCTGTTACGATTGCCACGCGACCAGACCAACGCTCCATCGCACAACAACTGATATCAGCGCTAAATTTTCATTCCCACAGTTGAGATTATTACTGCTCAAGGTTCTCCGGCGCGTATCTCTACTCTCTTCTGCGGCAGAAAGAGCATTACACTAAAAGTCTATTATGTCGTCACAGCAATGTTGACTTACGAGCGCTTGGATGTAGCATTAAGCATTGACTAAGCAAAATTCAAACTGGTTCCCTCGGATATGGCAGCAGAGATGACCTTGACTATGACGTGGTTCTTTTTCCTGCCACACTTGTGGCCAAAGCGATTAGGAATATTAAATAAGCTTTTTTATATTTATTTCCTTAAAAATCCAAAAGGACGCAAGCAAAAAAAAATTCTTTTTTAGCAAGCTCATTAATTTTATTTGCGAAAAAAAAATCAAATTCTATTCTTGCATAACTTTTTGGTATAAAGTATTTTCTGATACAAGCGAAGTCAGGCGTTTGGTGGCCTGATTGACCGTATGGGCTCATTAGATGGAGACTTACTTCAATCATAAAATCAGACGAGTACTTTGCGAAAAGTGATCATCTAATTGCGACTTATAAAAGCTTTTTGTTTTTACTGTGCCCTGTTGAGTACATTAATACATGAAAGCGCAAACTTGCCAACAACTTTAAAGATTTATGTAGCTGGGAACTATTATTTTATGACATTTATTTTTATTAATTAAATATTAAAAATTAATAAACGTCAAAACTTGAATGCATTATCTCTAATTATTATGAAATTATTTCCACGTTTACTTGCTGTGAAATTTTATTCACAATTTTTTTTACAAATGACAAAATTTACTGCAGCTCCGTGATTTCCATTTCAGCAGCCTTGGCTTCAGGGACCGTAGGGTCGTAAGTCCACTTTGGAAACACTCGTTTGTACAGATACAGCATTACTGTGTCCTGGGACTTCAACTGACCATCAAAGACACATTTCATGTGCCCATGAGTGCCTGAATTAATTAATTAAAATTTTGTTTAATTTATAAAATAAATTAAACTGTGTTTAATCCACTTACCAAGTGGCTCCTTGATGTGACCCCTTCGACCGTACTTGGTTTTCAGTTCGACTGGTTTGAACCAAGTGACATCATCCCTGTTGAAGAACATGAATCGAACTGTGGCCGATCTCTTATTGACCTTCATTGGGTGTCCACTGAGAACAGTGCGCTTCAGAATGACCCTATCGGGGTCAACAGAAAGCAGACTCCCTGTAGCTACCAAGCTCTATAAAATAACTTGTGAGTAATTTAGAATAAAAATTGGTATATTTTTAGTTACCTCTGTTCCGTCAGAGTTGGGCTTGAAAACTAGGCAGGAAGCAGGTGGAAACATTATTGGAGCAAAGAAAGTAGCAACTGTGATGCTCTCAGGTTGGAAGTATCTCTCATACTAAAACATTGGTTTAACACTTAGAATAAATCCAAAATAATATTTATGGAAGAAACAGAATTTCTGTGTGGATTGAATAAAATTTTTAATTAAATTTTTTTTTATCAAATTTAAGACTATCAAACAAATGGAAATAAATATTTTAAATTAATTAATCACCTTGTGTTTGCTGCCATTCGTGTGCTGGCTGAAGATAGGGTTTACAAGGAACCTCCTAAATCCAAGGTGGAAGATCAAAGGCTCTTTGGATTTCAAGGGCTCTTGGTTGCCAATGGTGCTCCTCTTCAGAACTACATTGAGGACGGACATTTTTCGTTCGTGAGGAAGCAGTCCAATGAGGACGGTTGGGCAACCACTCTCTCTGCCCAAGTACAGTTTTTCAGGCACATTTTTCACATGGACAGTCACATACCAACCAGGCTAAAACAAATTGGAATTAAAAATTTCAAAAAGTTAAATCTAAACATACCAGTGAACCAGGCCTGTCTTCGCTTAGTAAAATTTTCTTTCTAGTGTTGGCAAAATTTTCAAATTGGAAAATCCTAGCATAGTCCAGAGGGAGCTCTTCTTTCACATCCCAGGGGGAAGTTCTGAAGGATTTGAGACCTCGATACTTCTGGAAGCGGACTCGAGCTGGTACATCTTGAGGCGTGTCAATTTCATCAGGGAACATTTGGTCCATTCTGGCATCTGAAGACAATTTTTTTTTATAATTTACATGAAACCAATTTTCTATTTCAATTCTGGGATGTACATAAATTATTTGTAAAAATTAAAAGACAATAAAAGTTTTTTTCAAATTCTCATTTAATTGCTAACAATTTTAACTGATTTTTTTTTTAAATAATAAAATACTATTTAAGTAAATTTGTACCATTACCTTTAATCTTAGCAAGAGCCTTTTTTTCTTCCTCAATGTCTAGGTCTTTGTCATACTTGGAGCTGTCAGGGGCTTCAGACATTGTCACTGACTCCATGTCGTCTGCTTCAGAATCTTCGTATTGAGATGCTTCTTCAGAAACAGCATCCTCCATCAAATCCTCTTCCTCTTCACTTCCATCCTCATCGTCAACACTTTCTAATGAGAAATTTAAATTAAAATCGCTGATAAAAACAAAGTAAAAAATAAATACCTCCATCACTGTCTGGAATCCAAGCTGCTTGGTACTCGGACGTGCCCTTAGGAACTTTTTTGAGGACTTTCTTTTTCTTCATCTTGTCTTCGGCTTCCTCTAGCTCCTCCAAAGTGGGCCATGTCTGCTCTGCGTCCATTGGGTCGGGCAAATTTTCTGACAGCAAGCTTTCTTGCCTTTGAGGATCTGCCTGCTCCAACAATCTGTCCGATGAATCTTCCATCTTAGAATCACTTCCTTCAAGGCGGGCTGCGTTCAAGATCAGAGGATGCGGATCTTCTGGAGCATCTAGTTGTGACATCTGGAAATCTCCCCAGCCGCTGATATGGACCAGTCCGTTTACGTCCAGAGGCTTCCCACGGATGTAGCCAGTCACTTTTAAGGTTCCAAATCCAATCTTTAATTGAAATTGGTTATTGCTATTTAAAGTTCAAAATTTATACGTGGAATTTTATAAAAAAAATCTATCTCATAAAAATATATTAGATGACGAGTAAGACTTAATTTCATTTACTATTTTAATCACAACGCTCAACTTTAAAACAGATCAAATATTCATTCCAAAATAACAATATTACAAATAAATAGCAGAGGTCATTAAATTAGTAAAATTAATTCAAAAGATATTAAATAAATTAAAAATTCTATAATTTTTCAGTACCTCTGATCCAGGAGTAAATTGAACTTCATCAGCAACCAAATGAGCTCTGTTTTCACGCTGAGCAATAATTTTTCTTTTCTGGACTCCCAGCCTTCTCAAAATGACCTGAGCATCCATTTCTGTGTCCAACTGACTGACTTTTTCCTCAGGGAGCCACTTTGAGAAGACTTTCTGCATGTTTTGCTTCACCTCATTCCGTTTCTGAAAGAAATTTGAATTATATTATTTAATTAAAATAATGAAGGGATAATTACTTTGATGGGGAGGTCACCCAAGTCAGTGGCAGTCACAACGGGGGTTGGCAGCCCTTGGGAAAAGGCAGCTTGAAGCAGAGTCTCGCCCTCCTCGTCAATGTACTCTCCAGTCACTGACAAGACGAACAACACCGAATCAGCAATTTTGAGGATGTCCAGGGCTGAATTCAAATCGTCAGGTTGAGGAGCGTACAGAGAAAAACGCTGTTTTAGTCGAGGTACACTGAAAATAATAATTTATTTATTTATTTTGACAAAAATAAAATATTTTACTACCTCATATGGACATGTCCTTCTCCGCTCACAGTTGTGATGGTGTCCGGATCACCCTGCTGCAGTTTGTCCCTGGCGACGATGGGGTCGACGTCTCTGGACAGAGAAATGATGGCCACCAGAATCGGCGGAGTCCTCGCCGTCCCGATTTGCCTCTTCTGGGCGAACGCCTCCTCCCTTTTCTTGCTGCGAACCTGGGCGGCCTGATTGCGGCGCTCTTCCCTTCTCAACTCCCTCCTGTTCGACTTGGTGATCGTCTTGGCCGCAACTTTGCCTGTTTTCAAAATTAAATCAATCTAAAAGTTAAAGGAATGAACAATAAAACCTTTGTTGACTTTGTCCAGACTGCCCTTGCTTCGGTGGCGGCCGTGTTTGTGCGACTTGTTTTGCTGCTTCAGGGCACCGGGCCGATGCCTCTCTTGAGGCGCCTGCATGTCCAAGTCCTTGACAGAACTCTGGGCTAAACTCGCAGGTTCAAAAGCGACAGTTGCAGATGATAATTTGATTTAAATGGTCGCAGTCACAATCACACAATGCACGAGGTTCTCATGATTTTTCTGTCAACAAAAATCAAACAGAAACCCATGCCATGTGGTGGAATTGAGTTGTGCGCATGCGTCGTATAAAAAATTAGCGAAAGTTAAATTTATGAAAAATAAAATATATCGAGAAAATACCAAGAAACATTATTAAATAATGTAGCTTTTGGTAGAAATCTAGAAATTTAAAAAAAAAATCAAAATATCAGGAATAGTGTCAAAAATTATGGCACAACAAGAACCCTGAATTTTGTGGAATTGCGCAATGCTATTGCTTTTTAATTTTAATAGAATATTAAGAAATGATAAATAAAAAATATTCCGCGTATATTTTAATAATAAACGCATTAATTTATAACGTCAGCTCATTGGTAATATTATAAAAAGAAATTTATAATTTATAAATTTATGCCCTGAAAAATACTCAATTCTGAGATGACAAAATTTATTGCTCGAAAGTGAAAAAGCAATATTGTTTTTTTTATCCTACAAAAAGCTATTGCTTTTGCAGCCCTATAAGATTTTAAAGATTATACTATATTATTATAAATTATACATTTTAATCATTTTTGACTTATCGAATTTTAAGTGTGTGCCTTTGCGAGCCCACAATTTTAAGATTATTTACATTTAAAAATTAATTTATAATTTATTAGTGAGCTGCATTCATTTGGAAATCATTGGAAATAAGGTGGATTTCTATAAAGAAAATGTACGTGCCTTTTCTTGTTAATGTAATTTGTTAATTTAAAAAAAAAAATTTTTATTAATAATTATTTTAGAATTTTATAACCGTTTACATTTAAAAAACTAATTCAAGCCACTTTCTCTTAATTTTGAAAATAATGTAGGGCTTTCACTGCTATTCATTAGTCAATAAAATATAAAATTTCATAAAATATCGCTTCGAAAAATGTGCGGTTAAAAAAACTTTGTTTCCAAAACAGAATCTGAACAGATTGATCGTAACATTATGACAAATACCTAAACAACAAATTATAAATTATTGAGGGACAACATTTTTTGCTCTATAGAGATCGAGGGCGCAGCGTTGGGCGCAGCCAGTTGTAAAAGCGCGGCGTAAAAAGTCTGGAAGCGCCTGGAAAGCCACGCCCCCTCGGAAGAGGCGGCTGCTCTTGTTGATTTGCTCGCGTTCGCCGTTCGCCGCCGTCGTGTGTTTGGAGGCCTGCGTGGAGGAGGCTTTATTGATTTTGCCATCTCGGCCAAAGGAAAGAAAGAGGGGCACCGCGAGTGGGCCGCTGCTGGCTTGGTGTGCGTCCGACGAGAGCCACCGCTGTCTGTGTTGGAAGAGAAACGCGAACGGAAAAGCAGCGACCGGATCTGCAAATAAATCCCCGCGAGTGCAGCGCAGTCTGGATGGTGAGCACCGGGCGCCAGAGGCGAACGACCCTGACCTCCAGTCGGGCTACCTGACACGACCGGCCCTCGGCCGATGGACCACTTGTAGTAAACGCACTTCTCCTCACGCCGCTCGCACGCCCGCCGCAAATCATGTCCGAAGAAGCAGGTACGAATCCACGAATTTTTCTTACTTCATCTCTCATTTCAGCAGACCCGGAAAAGCTCCGCCGTTTCGGGTTTCGAAAATCGAAGAGAAAAGTTGATTGTCAGCAATTTTCGCGATTGCATGTCGGAGGCCGCGGAAGGTGCGGGAGATTGCGCGCCAAGAAGCTCAGCGTTAATTCTGCAAAGTTAAACGACTTTCACGCTCGTTTCGCGCAATTTGCTGACTATAATGAAACCGAAATTCACTGCGTAGTTCGACAAGTAGTTCCGAATCGGTGACAAATTGGGTCAAATTGCGTTACGAACAGACAAACCATGAGTGGAGAGATACGCATATTATAATAATATAGCCGTGGAATTACATAATTGGAAGCGTTGACGCTCCTGACCTTGCACAACACCATAATTTTATAATTGCGTTGGATAATCATTAATTTTAAGTGAATCAGCCGTAACTGTGAATTCACTTTTTTCACAATTTAAATAATTTATTTTATTATTTAGGGTTTTCATTCTTTCACCTTATTTCTTGTTTCAATTTTTATCATGTTCAAAAATTAAACAATAAAACTTCAATAAATAAATAATTAAATCGTTTAACATTTATTTATAATTTTATTTTGTTGATTTCTTTGTGGGAACAAAACTATTCCAACAGCCTCATGTTTTTCCTGGAGCATTAAATTTAATTTTTTTTTTTTACTAAAAATTTTTAAAGGTCATTTTATGCTTCGTGCCAACTGAAGACACGTTAATTATACTGTTTTGGTCAATATACGTGTAAAATTGTGGCCATGAAATTCAGAGCACTGTTCTGCTTTCTGTTTCTAAATATGCTTTTATATTGATTAGTCAATCAACAACAAAAACAACCAACTCCCCAGACAAACCAAGCACTTGTACTGATTGAATCAATACAAATCAATTTTGACAACAGAAAAACACTTTTTATCTGCTAATTCAATTTTCCTTTTCAAATTATTCAATACAGTGCACGTCACTCTTTTTATCTTTTTCAAGGCATTTATTTAGAGAGACGAATTACGAAACATTCACTTTACTTTGTTGAACATATTTCCTGCACTAATTAAAAGAAGCAATTATTTGAATTTTCTTTGGGAAGGTCACCCTGCGCCAGGGTGGTACCAAGGACGGAGGCTCGTTAGTCAGTCAATCAGGCAAACACAAGTGGGTCGGTCGCTTGGTCGATCACCGTGAGCAACAAACTCTCTCGGATCTTGTTGTCACGGCAACGGGCCGACGTGTTGATTTTCTTCTTCCTTACATTATTTTCGTGCGCGCCTTGTTATTCGCGAGTTGAAGGGTTTCAAACGGAATTTGCATAGGGCAATTTGTCTCGGCGCAGTAATGGGCCTCGAGTGAGTGAGATGTTGAAATTCCCTCAAGAGCCGCGCTACTCTTGAGCTTTTTTACTTTGTTGCTTCAGACGAGATTCCTCTTTGAATTGAATCACCCGTGCAAATAGAAAAAGGCTGGCGAAAATCAGGAGCTTAATTATGCTAATTTTGCGTGAATAAAAATGTATGATCTTAAAAATGAATAATAAAAAAAAAAATGGATCATGCAAAAAAAATTTAAAGTAAGACTTCAATTGAAAAAAAAAACAATTTTTATTTTTAGTTAATTTTTTTGCCCGATTTGTTAAAATAAGATTGATAACTTTCAATGAAAAATAATAAAGAGAATTTTGATAGTAAATTTAAAAGTAAAAACTATAAAGCGGCATATCAAATATTTATTAATTTAAAAATTTTATTATACAGATTATAATTGAAAATTAGCCAGCCTGAATAATCACCCAAGAAAGTAGATGCTGCAGTGGCAGCAGCCAATACAATAGAAATATGTGGAGGGTAATTTTTTGAACAATTGTATTTTTGCTGATAAAATTATTCAATTAATTTTAACTTTTCTGAAGATGTGAAGCCAAAATCCCCTCACTTTCAGTTTCCTCCACATTTTAAGGCACTTTTCACACCTGCAGTTTGAATTGGTGACTTGATGAAAAACAAAAACATAAAAGATCAATCATACGCATCTAAATTATTAACTAAGAAATAATGATTGTGAAAAATTCTTGACGTCAAATAGATCAAGTCACAGCTAGTTTTTCTTGCCAATCCAATTCATCTTGATTGAATGAATCAGGAAACCAATCAAGCTCCTCTGTCGTTCGCTTGCCATCGGCAATCCCACGAGCCCTTTTGGCGCGGCGCCAACGATTTTCGCAAAGGCGCACGTGGTCGCGGGTGACACATTCTCTGCCATATACATTCATTTGCACGTACCCGCGCGTCAAAGAAGAAGAACTAGAGGGGGCGTCCTTCGGCCTCGATTGCATCACCAAAACGCTAAAAGACTGTATACGTCTTGTTTGACGACAAGCGCTCTTCAAAGACTCGTCGTCTTATTTATGTTTGCACACTATTGCTTTATGTAACGTCGCGAATGATTAAATTGTGGGAGGTCTGTTTACTTGCCGTCATTGCGAATTTATATTGTGAAGAGGAGAATGATGACTTCTTATTTCATAATTATGGTGTTTTACCTCATTTAATGTCACAGCTACAAATTAATCATCTGGCTAATCATGATGATTAAAGGAAGAGAAGCGGCTGAAAATAAGTAATAATTAATAGTTTGTAGTCACGACGAAATTATTTAGGAACCTAAAAATTAACCCACAGAAATAAAAAATTATCCGACCAAATCAAATTAAATTTCGTTATTTTACATAAACATGCATGCACAATTTTCAAATTAAATGCAGTAAAATGGTCAAAATCTCAATTGTTTTCTAATTTTTAGGCAGCATTAGACAGTTTGAAAATTGGAGTTTAAAAAATGAATATTTTATTTCAATTTTTTTATGCTCTGTGAAAAAATATTAAATATACTAAAAATACAAAGTTTCATCTTGAAACGGATTGAAACTCACCGTAATCCAATTGAACCTTCATTAAGGTTGTTGGCTCCCATCGATTTGCTTGTGTCACGCGCCTTCCGAAATATATACCCACCGAATTTGGTTTAAACTGGCTTAAACCAGCAGGCCTCTAATTTTATATCTGTGCTGGTGAAGGTTAGGACACGAAGTTTCTCTCTTGAAACTGACAAAAGAACCCCACTTATAATACATTACTTGATTTCCAACCAGAGTATAAAGCGCCTGTTTTACTGAAAGATGTTATGAAAAATGAACAAAGGTCTAAAAATAAGTGATATACAATAGATTGTGTAAATAAAATAACTTTTTAAATATTTTATTAATCAAAAGGCTACTCCCAATGCTTTTAAATATTAAATTATTTTACAATTATTTTTGTAAAACAGTTTTACGTTAATTTCTACCCTTTCAAAAACTATTCAATTTCAACTATCTGAATTTTTTATATTCATATAATTTTATTGAATAAAGTTTCAGCTGCTTTATTTCAGATGTAGGAGATAAATCAGATGCCTGACATCTTGTACGCCTTATGTGTGGTCAGTTTTGCAGACTTTAAATATCGTTAATAATGTTAATAAGTTTAAATAAATTAATCTAATCATAACGTGCAAAAATAATATAATAATTAAAATAATATTTTCCTAGATCCAATTTTTTTTATGATGCAGTAAATTAGTTGCTTCAAAACATCAGCAATGTTAATATTTACTGGACCTTGTTTCGTTTCTGGGGGCTAATCTTCTCTCTGGGTGTAGTGGTGCATGGTGATCCGGTACGTGCGCCCAGAAATAGCCCCTCTTCCGCGTTCATGAGTCCGAAATAAACCTGAAATCGCCAAAGAAGAATGCGGCTGAAATTAATTTGGACGCGCTTTGGATTCGGAAATAAAAATAACGATTTTACGACTGGGGCGAATTAGGGCTGTTGCTACTTGGACCGCGCGGATTCTGTTTCGAAATAGATCGGCTTTGTTGGTCAGTGGTACCGAGAGAGAGCACAATCGCCGGCTATTTCAGGCCCCACTACTTCCAACTTAGATTTCACGTGTTTTGCATAACTCTTTGAAAGAGCAGCGCGCCCAGAATATTCAAATTAAATTGTATATCAGCGATAGTCTAGGGTTGTGAAGAGAACGTTAGACTTTTTGAACGAACAAAACCCCGGGTTAAATCCAGTCCTGGCACACTTCCCTCCCTTTATGAGAAAGAAAAAAGACGGATTCTTCTGGTGACACTTTTTTGTCGCGCAGATTTTAATTTACCGGCTTTGCTTCTGGCTAATTACCCGCGGCGCTTATACTTCTACCGCCAGACGACTCAGAGTGGGTGGATCAAACAGACTTTTTTTCTCGCAAAGGTAAGCGCTCGTTTTTATACGGCTGTCACAACAAAGCACGCTCCATTTGTTGTATTTTTATTTTTTTATTTTATTTATTTATTCTTCTCGGTCAATACAAAAATTTTAAATTGGAAAAAAGAGAAGAAAGGGTTTACAACTAGCAGATGTCTGCTAAAACGCCCGACATCAAAAGAGACACGGCCGCCGTAATTTGTATTTGCCGTTTGCTTTTGCGTGTTTAACGCACAAATTATTGATTATTTTTTGTAATTTGAATTTTTCAAGCAAAATTTCGTTTTTATTTTATAAGCAGGTCAAAAATTAGTTTCCCTCTAACGTGAGTCATCCACATTTCAACGGATATTTTTGCTGGCAATTTTTTAGCCCAAAAGCGTATCGTTGTTTGGCTTCAGTTCAAAATTTAAAACTTGAATTCGCTTAAAAAGCTATTCACATTCAAACAGAAATTAATGACCAAAAATTGCTATTTACAGAGAAGTAAACATCTCAAAATCACGTTTTTTTAAACTTGACTTTTTTAACCCTATAATGCTTTAAATCATACTCTAGACTTTTGTCTCTGGTCTTTGCTAATTTAAATAAGACTTTTTGGTCTATATATAATCTGTATAGGTATTTCAAGTGTCTACATTTTATATTATCTTATGATAAGAGCACAATTACAATTTTCA